ACACCAGAACATCTCATCACTGCGTGAGCCGAGATGACAACCATTCGTGCCATAAAATTTGGTACGACTGATATCGGGAGATATCAGTGTGATACCTGGGACTATAAAGTTTTTATCGCTCACTTGACGGAAGCGAAACGAAACGAACAGAACGGAAAAAAATCCGGCCGAAATAAAAGGATACAATTGAAGATAGGCGCGCCCATTACGCCGAACGGAATCCGTTCAGCATAATCGCTCCTTGATTGATTTGTATGCTTTTATTTCGTATCCGACAAGTGAGCGACAAGCTTAAGATGAGTTATAACTCAAGAAAGGGGACACAATAGATCTGTAAAGTTGCGGTGTTTAGCCCCCCTCCCACTCATGACACAGGCGCTGTCCCAGGGCACGGCTGTTTTAATAAATATATCTATCCCGGGATTGATCACAAAGGATCACAATCAGAAATAATTTAATCAGCTACATACAATATCGAAAAGAAAATGCTTTATTAAAGTAGACAAAACAAAGTACCTACCACTCATATTTAGTGATTAAAAAATCAATTCTTGTTGAAAAAAATAATAAAATATATAGCACAACACGGAAATACCTCTAACCACAGACTAAATGTACTATAGGACTATAGTACCACAGATAGTACTACTAACTAAATTAGTTTGTGCTCTAACTTTTAAATATTGACGTTCTGCTTAGTATAAATAAAAATGACCTTTGAAAGACTAAACTGTACAAAGTCGAATCATTTTAGATGGGGCATTTAAATTTTTCGAGATTTTCAGGATCCCGGGATTTAATATCGGGATCCCGGTTTAGAAACGCTAGCTATAATTTAGAATATATAATTAACGGCGACACGTATTGATGTATTTCGAGAGCAGATCCTACGTCGTTGGTCCATGTGATACAGGGTGATTTTTTTTTAGTCGGTAGGTTGCTACCTAGAATACGACTGAATCCGTCACACTTCGGTTGCTAGAGCAATCGACCAGGCGTCAATGAAGATTTTTAGTGTTCCGTACCCAAAGAGTAAAAACTAAAACGGGAACCCTATTATTAAGACTTCGCTGAACCGTTATAGCTAGACAGTTGAATTTTTTACAGATAATGTATCTATGTTGCCGCTATAAGAACAAGTACTAAAAACAGAATTAAATAAATGTTTATAAATAAAAAAGTACTTTCACTAAACATTATCTTTGTTGGAGCCGTAGTTACGCGGGTTCGAATCCTAGTCAAGGCGACTTTTTTTAATCGTTTTTTTTTAATTTTTACATATTTTTACATATTTATTTTTACTACATACAATTTTTAGTAATGTGTTTATTTTTTTTTAAATTACTTATACGCGCATTAAAAATTTCAGCTAAATCGGAAAAAAAGTTTATAATAATATAGTGTCTAATGTTGTATAGATAATGAATATGTACCATTCATCGGAACCCTTCGTGCGCGCGTCCGACTCGCACTTGACCAATTTTTTTTTTTACAACCCCCATCAGAAAAAAATATTCGTAATATTTGTATAGAATGTATAGGGTACTATGATATCAAAAACGACTCAAAAGAAACAAGTGTTTAACGTACTTAAAGGCTGAAACAAATTACGGCTGTAAAGGCTGTACAAAAACTGGTTCTTAGCAGTTGGTCTGAAAACGGTTTGAAATTATAATTTCATAAACGAGTTTTGTTTTAGTTTTGCCCTAGTGTTTCCAATTTCTCAGCAACAGACATTAGTTAACAGTATTTTTGAGGGGTCTGCTGGAAACATTTTCCTATAATACAATATACATCGTCGACTCTGTCACTCTGTATGTGATTTTGCAGCTGAATGACTTCTTTGCATTCTTCTCGATCGTTCTATGGATTTTGCGCTCGCACCAGTTAAGTTTCATCACTGTAGCCATTAAAAACTACTATAGCTGGGACATTTTTGGACACAACTTGACTATGTTACTGCCCTTACTGATACAAGAAGGAAATAGATACACGAACCAGTTTTCGCTCCTAAAGATGTTTATATGAACGTAGAATAAAGCACAATAAAGGGTATTCGGGAAAGCTAAAAAAACAATTATATTTTATGCGACATTTCGCGACTTTATTGTCGCTTCTTCAATCACTAAAACATTTAGTACTCAAAATGCCTGCAAAAGTGATTTATGACTACTCTAACCCCTCACACTAAAGAACACCACTAATTGTTTTCTTTGAGCCTTCCCAAATACCCCAGATTTTTTCTATATACTAATTACTGGGAACAAACAATAATCATAAAGTTTATATTAATACCTATTTGATACCAAATAGTATTTGATATATTTATATATTAAATATATATATATATATATATATATATATATATATATATATATATATATATATATATATATATATATATATATATATATATATATATATATATATATATATATATATATATATATATATTAAATATATATATTATTATATACCTATTTGATACCAAAATACTATTTGATACCAAACCAAACCAAACCTTACATTTTTGACAAAATAAATACCGTATGATCGAATAAAAACGGCGTCAGCGATGGCTATGAAATGAAGATCGCTGTCATTTTATCTGTAACATTATATAGAAAATGTCATCGATCGTCATTTCCAAGCCAACTTGACGCCGTTTTTTTCGATCATACGGTATTAATATTAGAAATCCTCCTGGTCATGAATTATATTCATATTTCGTTTCAGCCAGTAAAAGCTAATTTTACTTTTAATTATTCCAGTTCTCAGAAACTCAATCACACTCGGAAGTAACGCTCCAGTTTAACAACTACTAAGATAATTTCTAATACAGATGTTTTTGAAGTTAACTTTATTCCTCTTCTTCTGGAAAATACTTTGCGATTCGCTCATTTCGAACTCCTAGTAAAACTATACCGAAAAAAGCAGATGTTAGTAACCATTTTCGCATAAAATCATATCAAAAAGTGATTGAGTATGGCACACTTACTGAAATTCAGTGTCTCTCCAACGTGAAACCACTCTTAGTTAAGACAAATTTATGTAAATTAGTCTAGTTTCTGGGTTATATATTTTTTGTTTCATACATATATTGTATTTGTTATTATTTCTAACAAATCAAAAAGAAAATTTCGATTACATGACAAATTTTCCGATTAACATTATCTATCCAGGTGTACAGGGTGGGTCAAATTGAACGCTTTTGAAGGGAAACACCCATAGACGAAAACTAATATTGGTATCTGGGGCTCAATTTTTTTCAAAAATATGTTGGTGAAAACCGCACATCGATATCTGTTACTGTTTCAGAGTTACGGGGTGTTTTTCAAAAATGTGTATGTTTAACAAATCGCTGTAACTTTTTTGCTATGGAAAATTTTGTATTTTTATGAAAACATTTCCAAAGCACGTTTTTACGTAGAGTTTAATGGTTTAAGTATAATTTTTTTAAAATTAATAATTTAAGAGTCATTAACAGAAAAATTGATTTTTTATTTGGGACACCCCAATATTGTATATTTTTAATTAGCCGAAAAGAACTTAAAATTACCTTTCCAAAAATATAGTACACTTGATATTTTGTTATAGTCACATTCGAAATACATAAGTTCGCCATTTTTAGCTAGTAGGCCCCTTGTTGATGATCTGCCCCTAATGGAACTCGAAAGCATATTTTTCCAGCAAGAAGAGGCACCGCCTCAGAACGTTGAAGTTATCTGCAAGTTTTTGCAGTCAATTTCTAGAATAATTGAACAGCTAATCAACATCCTAGCCGTTGGTCATCGAGGCTACCGGATTTAGCGCCTGTGGATTTTTATCTTTACCAAAGAGTGAAGATTCTTATTTTCAAATTGCCCGTATAATCTAAACAAGAAAGTACTTAGCGGTTATGCGAGGGTGAAAGATATCCCCACTGACTGAGTTAATAAATTTTGCGAGAAATGTTCAAAAACGGTCCCGTCTGTCCATAACAGAAGACGGTCGACATTTCGAACACCTGTAGCAAAATCTCATGTCTTGGTTTGCTATTTATTTGTGTTGTTATTAGATATACATAGTTTAAATCTGTTGATGTTGTTAAATATAGTTCATATTGTTATAAAATTCTGCATCTCTCATTGCAAATATTATTTTCGTTTTAATTGCTGCTAACAGCTAGATTTTTTTTACATTACACCCGGGCCGTTCAAAACCTACTTATTCAAAGTGAGCGAATTTTTAAAACCTCTATAGCGGAACTGAGCAAAATATCAAGTATGCTATACTTTTTGAAAGGCAATTTTAAATTCTTTTCGATTGAATTAAAAATATACAGGATGACCCATATAAAACATCAAATTTTCTATTGATAATTCTTAAATTATTAATTTTACAAAAATTATACAAATCATTAAATTCGACATGTAAAGGTGCTTTGGAAACGTTTTCAGAAAAATACAAAATTTTCCACACCGAAAAAGATACAGTGATTTGTTAAAAATGCACATTTTTGAAAAAACCAGTAACACCGAAACGGTAACAGATATCGATATGCGGTTTTCACCATCATGTTTTTGAAGAATAACATAATTTATATACCACATCAATAAAAACTGATCATTTTAAAAATAACAATTTATTATTTTCTATTATTGACGAACAGCGGTTACTGTCTCTATTAACATTAAAGAGCAAAACTGCCTAAAAGAGAAATCTACCACAATTCACTTTTTATGATTTACAAGTTACTTAAATGTTTTAGAAACCTAGAATATTTGGATTATCAGTAATATACATTACAAACAAGATACTAGATGAACTGTTTAGATATATTGTAGTAATTTCTCATTTTATATATTTTTTTAATACCTACTGAAATATTTAAAAATATAAAACAATTTAAAAAGTATAAAATTATGACAAGTTTCATGGTAAGACTAAAAAGATTACCACAATGTTTGATCGTTGAAAAAGCCTACCAATTTACAAAACCAGATATGCTAAGCAAAAAATATATACATCTTAAAGCATATAAAAAACAAAGGCAACCTAATATGTATTATAAAACAATTAAAGTTTAAACTGTTAATTTCAAGTAATTTCCCAATAAAATACAATCATTATCTCGCATTTTAATTCTAAGCATTAACTTAAATATACTTAAATTCTATACATTGTGAAGTGTACGAATCATGGAAGCTCAATGCTAAGACAGTTTCCTTAAAGACATATATACAATTATAATAAATTACACTTATACAAGTCACCTGATTGAATAAATTCACAACTCAACACTTCATATTCTGTATCTTAATAATTGTCATTATTATTCAGGTAAAAATATACCTTGAACAACATTGTAATCACTCCCTATCTTGAGCTAAGACAATAAAGAGGTTTAAAGTAAAATATATTTAGAAATATAATAGAAAATACTGTAAAAAACTTAAATTCTCCACAATTTTTTTATAATTTGTAATGAAAGTATAATAGAGTTAAAAATCAAATATAAAAATATGAGTAATTACTATTAAAAAAAAACACTTAATACTATAGGAATAAGGTTACTTATAAACAATGTGTTGAATAGAATATTGATTTGGCAGTTACTTCTATTTCACTTCATTTTGTTCAAGCTGGGATGAACTATTCCTCCATTTTATTAAAACTAATCTCGACGTATAAATGCTCTTCCACTAAAAATATAAAATCTTATTTAAAAAAATATACTATACAAGACTTATATAAAAGAACCATGCCAGTTAAGAAACAGTGGTGCACTAGTGTCTTTTATTAAATCACTTGTGCCAATTACAATAATTATGAGATGCTCCAAACTCCAAGCGTAAAAAGTTCTCGCCCTCCTTGTTGGCATAAGTGGACGTGCACATTGAACAGCCGCTTACTGGCAGGTTAACCGGTGGTCTCAACATGGACGCTACCACATTATATTTATTATTATTACACAGTTAAAGCACGGCACAAAATGTATACGTATTTCTGGATATGTAACGTAGAAACTTACGTTACGGATGTGGATGCGTCATTGCGATGCGCGCAAAAGAGAGTTAAACCAAATATTTTTGACGTAGGTAACGCAAACGGTACATTGTGTTTTGTGGAATTTAGTCTATTTCCGCCGAGCAAATTTTTATCGAAAAACGCCAAATTGTGATACAAGCATGAAATTTGGCATAGTTATAAAAAACGATATTTTAAGAGTGTAATATTTGACCCGATTAGCCACCCTCCCGGACATGTATGGGACACCCACAAAATTTCTTACATCTTTAGGCTTTTTTAATATGGGCGATATTATACTCTATATTATATAATTCAAGGATGGAGAATGAAAAAAAAAAATGTTTCAGGTCGATATGAGCTTTACTGACCTTGAAAACTGCTTTATGATTTAAAAAAAAATACATTTTTGCAGACTTTGGTTAAACATTTTTTTTAAACGGCTAGCATGAACGAATTTATAACAAAAATATGTAATTTACATTAAAAAAGTAAAAAAAAACGTGTTTACCAAAATTATAGCTGTCAACGACGATCATAGGCGGCCCATGGATTTTTTGAAATATTTGTTAAAATTTTCCGGAATTGACTAAATGAAACCGAATGGCCTTCCAAATTATTTTATAGCAAATAAATAAAAAATAAATAAAATAAAAACATTTTAATTTTTCGGGGAATTCTCATGGAGGTAACTTGTCAACCCTGCAGCCATTACGCAATCCGCATCGCCTATTGTTTTATCGTTTGTATCGTCATGTCGCACAATGGCCGATTTGAATTAAATCATGGCATAAATAGAGTTACGCGTTTTGTTTTATCAAAAATTTAAAAATCGACATAATTTACCTAAATATATAAACTGAATTAGTTTTAGTTTCATATTTAACAGAAATTTTATTATACAGGATAACCAAGGGGGTAACGTAGTCTAATCAGAATACCGTTTATATGAATTAAATAGGCAACATTTTAATTACAGATTATTTCACTGAGGAAGAAACAGTAGCATATGCTAGGGTGGAATATAGGGACACGATCCCCACTTTTTTAAATCTTAAAATTTTTATGATATTTCTAGTTTTAACAATTTACATTTAACACAAAATGGTAATACCGACAATTAAATTTATAAAATGATGTTACTAATATTTTTAATTTTAACAGTTTTAACATGGAAAAATTAATATCCTTTTGTCTAAAGAAAAGAATATTAAATGTATAATAAATTTTTACATTCACCATATTCCACTATAGTAATAGTCCAAAGCTAATAAAGTCCAATATTAAAAAGGTTTAGAAAAATGTTTATCTGATGATTAAAATTTACAACTATCTTTTTGGCACGTTTTATTGGCTCTTTTGGCCTTTTTACAATATGTCTACAGTAAAAAAAATGCCTAAAATAATTTGAATGCAAATAAATCTAACAAATTTGGCATAACTTAGTCGAAACAAAGACTTTTAGATTACACTGTATAATTTTATTGCGGGCAACTTCGGGCAACCTTTTTTGGTGGATACTATGTAGAAAGGCATTGAATAATACAGAAAAAAATATGTGGCACTGGAAATATGGTGAGAACATAAACAAAATGCTTTTTGTATTTTGATTTTTTAATAATTCATTAAGAACATAATATTACCTAGCTAATTATCTCATATGATTTTTAAAATACAGACTTATACTATCATTTTTTGGTATTAAATAAGTCCATATCTCAGTAACCCCATTCCATAACTGCAGTTTTAATTTTGGAATTAAAATCCTTTTCTAAATACTACCTTCAACAATTTAAACCGTATATCCAAAAAGTTGCTGCCACTTCAAAAGCTACAAGATTGGACGTGGCATGGGATTTATATTATGAAAATAGCCTCAAAGATGCTACAAGAGAAAATAGAGGAACTGGATTGAGGCTGAATAATTTGCCAAAAAAGGGTAAGTAAATTGACAGTTTAGGCTACCAGGAGTTAGTAATTATGTATATTAATAAACTAAAGTGTATGATGGATATTTTTCTTCTTTTTAGATAAACTTAATCAAGATCAATCAGTATCAACTAGAAACCATTTATTCCAAATCACTTGGAAGACCATTTAATCTCGTTTAATTGATTTTGACACATTCTTCTAAATTTTTAACATTATTTAAAAAAATACATGTTCCGCCAATGATCGTTGTAAACAACTATAATTTTAAAAACCCCGTTTTTATTACCTTTTTAATATTAATTATTTATTTTTGTTATAAATCTGTTTATGCGAAAAAGATCAATTTTTTTTCGCAAAAAAAGTCTGCAAAAAAATCAATTTTTTCATTCATAAAGCAGTTTTCATGGTCAGTAAAGGTCATATCGACCTGAAACATTTTTTTTTGGATTCTCCATCCTCGAATTACATATGTATATAATATAGAGTATAATATCGCCCATATTGAAAAAGCCTAAGATTTAAGAAATTTTTGTCCGCCATTTTGAAAAAATGGCGGTATGGGGTGTCCTACGGGTCTGGGAGGGTGGCTAATCGGGTCAAATCTCTTAAAGTATCGTTTTTTATAACTACGCCAAATTTCATGCTTGTATCACAATTTGGCGTTTTTTTTTCTCGAGGGACTAATTCTTTTTCTAAGTTTAAGAACTGTAAGTTTATATTTTTATTCCAAATTAAATTTCTAAACATAATGTTGAAGAATAGAAAAATCATTTCTTAAACAACTTAAAATATCCTTAGTAATAAAAATATTGTAAAACGGACACTTTTTGTGGTTACTTTTGTTCACAGGATATGTTTACTTAATTTATATATATTATATAATTTATATATATTAAATTCTTTTAGAATCATTATCATTTAGAACAATTAAATAGAATGAAAAATGAGTTATACTTATATTATATTTATTATCAAATTATTAATTTGTTATATTAAAATGTCCTGTAATGGCCATATACGGGCTGCAGCAGAATTTGTGACCTTAGACGCCATATTTTTGGACATAAAGAATGAATCATCAGCTGGTCATCAGCGACAATTTTAGCGATTTTTAATAGTTGGTTGTGTGTAGTGAACTTTGTATAAACTTTATTACAATGGTAATTATAATAATAATAATAAACTTTATTAACTTTTAGATTAGTACATAAAATGACAGCCGTTTCTTTAATAAAGGCACCTAAGACAATGTCTTGTGTTGTGCCTTGTTTTGAGAGTTACTTTCTTATTAAAAGTTAACTACACGCAGAAAGAAAGAGAAAAAAAAAACATTATAAATATGCAATAAAAGTATACAAGCTATAATTCTAAAGGTTGATAATAATGGTTTGTCCTAGACCAACATGGAGTGCATTATCACATAATTGACAACTATATAAGATTTAATGTTCTTTTTGAAAATACGGCTAGAATATCTCCTGTATAACGAAGGTAAACTGTTATATAATTTTATTCCAATATAAGATATACTTTTTTGGCAGACTGATTTACTAACACGATCTATAGGAGTCATCTGTGCAGCTTGACTTCTGGTATTGTGTGAGTGGTACGCATGATACAGATTGTTCTTCGAATGTATTAATATTAATATAGATTTAATATATAGACCTCTTACATTCAGGATACAATTTATTGTATAGATATCTCTTACACTTACTCTACTTTTAATATTGAATATGACGCGTATGATAAAATTCTGACAAACTTGTAACTTTTTTAGCGTGGTTTCATACGCCGAACCCCAAACAGATATGCCGTAACTAAGAATTGATTCGGCTAAGCTGCTATAAACGATAAGAAGTAGTTTTTGAGCTAGTACATTGCGCAATTGATAAAATCTGTATATAAACTTTCTGATTCTTTTAGCCAGATAATCTATATGGAAAGTCCATTTTAAGTAGTGATCGATGAATACACCCAGGTATTTCACAACATTAGTTTGGATTACTCCGTCATTAAAACCTTTAATATACATGGGACCCAATTGTCTACTTTGCCCTGCAACAGTCGGTGAGAAAGCCATATATTTAGTTTTTGAGACATTTAAACTCAGTCTATTAGCATCCAGCCATTCTTTCACGTCTTGCAGTGAGGCTTGAGCTTTGTTCCACGTCCTTTCCCATGAAAAATCTTCACAAAGCAAAATCGTATCATCCGCATAAGAAATAATTTGACATTCATTATAGTTTAATAAATCATTGATAAATATAAGAAATAGGGTAGGTCCCAGTATAGTTCCCTGTGGAATCCCAGTTTTTATAATTTTGGTGTTGCTGAGTATCCCGTTTATGTGTACCTGTGATATCTTTCTGTCAAATAACTTTTAAATAGTGAACAAATTTTACCTCTAATACCTATATTGTTAAGTTTTTCCAGTAATCTGCTGTGATTCACAGTATCAAATGCTTTTTGTAAATCAAGAAAAATACCAATAGTCTTTTTGTTACTATTAAAATTACTCAGTAGTTTTCTATTAGAATCTGAAGTGGTTGTTCAGTGCTAATTCCCTTCTGAAAACCAAACTGGCAATTTGATATAATTTTATGTTCGTTTAAAAAAGATGTCAGTCTCTTGTTAATGCTTTTTTCAAAAATTTTAGACAGACCATTTAGTAATGAGATAGGGCGATAATTAGTCATTTCCATTTTATTTCCATCTTTGAATATAGGAATAACAATACTTTCTTTAAATTGCGTTGGTACGAGTGATGTTTCAAATATTAAATTTATGATATATGCTAGAGGTTTTGAAATTACATTTTTGATGGATTTAAGAGTTTTAATTGCTATTTTATCTTTACCAGGTGATGAATCATTTCTAAGAGAGCCAATTATTTCTTCAATTTCCCAATGGTCTGTCGGTTTAAGAAACATTGTATATGAATTAATATATTGAGTGAATTTATCACTTATTTCAGAGTGACTTATATTATCGGCAATCCTGCTCCCAATTTCCACAAAATAATTATTAAACGTATTGCAAATATCCGTTTGGTCTTTTAAAATAAGTCCATTTTCTAAGATATGTTCAATGTTTGTTTTGGCTTTGTTGGATATGTTGGATACCTCGTTGATTATTTCCCATTTTTTCTTGTAGTTGTTACCTGTAGTTTGTTCAGCTTTCAAGTGTAAAAGGCGCAATGATAAGAAAGAGCCAGGAGTTACGTTTTATAGGGAAATAAACAGTCCACTACACCTTTTTAGCGTTTTTTATTGAATTCGATAATTATTTTTCTGATATTATATGTACTTGATATATGCTATACGTCGATACTAGTTTTGTACCATTTGTTAACATTTTAATACGTTCTTTTTTCGTAATTAATTAGTATGATACCACAGGATGCACCATAGGCGTAGTGAAAACATTTACCAAAAATATAAATATCGCTTCAAGCGGCTATGTTAAGAAAAATATGTGCCATGGCACTGTTTGGAAGAATGGTCACAGTTTGGTGTCAGTCTTGTATTCTTTAGTCATTGTTTCCTGTTGAGAACATAACCTTACTTTATTGTTTGGATTTTGTTCTGCAGTTTTTACATTTAAGTCTTCTTCAAGTTCTTATAGTAGGTACTATATTTAAAAAAGCAGAAGGGAGGGCATATGGTAAGTACAAATACTGATATTTTTCTTATGCGATTTTATAATAATTTATTACATACATTACAGAGATGATTTGTTTAGGAATAAATGTAATAACAGCCACTACCCATAGCCAACAGGAGAACAAAGAAAACTGTTACCAGCATACGTTTTTTCTCTTTTTTTCCATAGTGGAATACCATGTTTTTATATTTTAATTGTGTTATAAGAAGTAAATAAAAATGTTTTAATTATTTTGATCAGAAGTTTTGATTGGCGTTGTTGACAGGTGACCAGTTTTTAACCACTTCAAATATTATTTTGTAACCAAAGTTTTAGTAAATAAGAAATAAAATGGCAACACCGCATAGTGATTCAAATAAAAATAGTGTACTATATGAAGAATTTTATGCTGAATGTCATTATCTACACAAAAAAATGGAAGGTGCAATTTAAAAAAAAATGAAAACTTTATCATAGCTTTTTTTGTGACACCCTAATGGTGGCGCCTCTCGTACGACGCGGCGGCTCCAAGGAGAACGATAGTTTGTATTGAAATTATAAATTTTGTGAGCATATGTAGGTAATTTGTGAACATATGTAGGTATTTTGTGAGCATATGTATATGGATGTAATTTAGAGCACATTTTAAATATATAGAAAGTTCTACAGGGCGTCCCCAAAAAAAGTTACATATCAAAGTTAGGTTTTTTAATGGAAACACCCTATATTTTGAGTTTTATTACAGAGGTATATGACTAAAATGTAAGGTTTTTGACATATTTAACATTTTCCAAAAATAATGCACATTTTTTAAATTGCAATAAAAGCTACTTAAATTCGAATTTACCCGGTATAGCCTAATATGTAGTTAAAATAACTATTCTACTTTAAATCAAATTAAAACTCCTTGACCCAAAAAGTCATACAGGGTAAGAAAAAATTAATATTGAACATTGGTCACCTCTAAAACAAATTACAATTTTATTTTAAACGGAACACACAGTATATTATTCCGATATTTAATGGATAATTCATGTCTCTTCAAAATATTATTAGGGTTACCTACCTCTAAAACAAAGATTTTCCTAGATATTTTCATTATTATGATTTAGTGTCAGTAGATATTTATTATTTGATAAAATCTAGGTGGCTGTAATATGTCTGATGTTACATCAACATAGCTGTCTAATTAGATCAACTTTAACAACTAGTTATCATTTGTGTCAGTTAAAACAAAAAATATTCTCAGAAATTTGCTGAAACTGGAAACTTATCCTAGGCATGTTCGGTTTTCCAGTATACAGGTACCAGGACCAGTACTTTTAAAATATTCCGGTATCGGTATCGTCTTTTACAAGACCGGTATACCGGTTTCGGTACCGGTACCGGAAGACTGTTTTAAATCAGTTTCAATCGATACCGGAAGACCGGTTTCAATCGGTACAGAAAAATAGATTGATGACAACCACAACAACCAAAACTGATATTTCTGTCTTTCCGATATCCCGGTCCATTCGGTCTTTCGGTCCATCTGGTATACCGGTTCAGTATCGGTCCCACTGATCTAATGTTGGAACCGGCATACCGATTGTAGGACCGGTACTTCGTGATACCGGATACCAGTACTGAAATCTTAGGACCGAACATCCCTATATAACTTATCCTAAATCAGAGAGAATTGATATATATGATTCTATTGGTTGGAGAGTGCAGTGTGCATTCACCAATTAATACAATACTTAAATGCTCTTGATTTCATCTAGTCTGGGTTTTTTATACGGATATGTTAAAGACAGTTTACAAAACTCTAACTATTGTCGACAACCAGAGAGATATGACTGATATGAATGTAGCTGCTTTTCAAAGTAGAACTCCACAAATGCCTTTTAACATGAAAATATTATTTGAAAAGAGAATAATTTTATGCAGTGAACAGGAAAGGAAGCATTTTGAACATTTGATTTCATCTAAATAAATTTTGTCACTGTACGTTTATATCTATTTTTAATCCTGTAATAATGGAAATATGTCTTAAACGTGTGTCTTTTTATTACCGTTGAGTATTTTACTCTATAACCTTAAATTTTTGTTAAATTAACAAAAGCTATATCACAGCCATCTAGACTTTTTCATATAAAAAAGGTATTGGCGCAAAATGATATTTTAAAGATATATAAATTCTCCATCGAACATTGGAATAACATACTGGGTGTTATTTATGATGTTCTATTTAAAATAAAGGAGTAACTTGCTTTTAAATGTAACCAATGTTCAATATTAATTTTGTCACCCTGTAGAACTTTTCGGGTCAAACTTTTTCAGTTTTAATTTGGTTTAACATACAATCACAGATAACACATAATCCAGATGGCTCCTTACGTGTTAAAAATTGTCACCCTAATTTCACTCCAATTTGGAAAAATATTGGAGTGACATTTGAATAATCTGAAATTTTTAGATATCTTTTCTCACTTTTTTGGGAGGTTTTGCTTCTCTTGCACAGATGTCGCTTGCACTTCAGTTGCGTGGTTGCCAAACGTTATATCGAAATATATTTCAATTCATTATGAATATATAAAATTAAAGGTATACCAAATTAGAAATTATGTAATTTATAAACATGAAATAGGGTATTACCTGAAATAGATATGTTAAATTAATATATAAATATTTAACTTAATACGTTCATTATTATTTTATTAATTTATCGTCACACGTCATTTACCAGTTGCCTAATTACGAATAGTTTCATATGACATTAACCTCAAAAATGATCTTTGAAAACAAACAATAAACAGAGCAACAAATGAACAAATAACTACATAATGACTGATAATGATAAGCGATAATAATAACTTTAATGATATGAAGGCTGATGAAGGTAATTATAAACATTATTTTGAGTTTGTTTAATAAAATATAGGATACAATATAACTAAGCAAAATCAAACAGTTTTAGACAACCAATATAAGATTTAGAACTTGACACATCATGATAAACAAATTGTACATTCAGGAACTCGTTTAAATATTATAGGTAAGTAATATTTTCACAAAAACTAAACATTTTAGTATAAAATCACAGGTAATATATAGAATATTACCTATGATAAAATGTTAAATACTGATGTATATTTATTCTAATCACATTTAAATTTAAACTCAAAATTTTCATAAAAAGAAAATGGTAATTTTTCGTAAATATAAAGTAAATAATATTACATATTTCAGGTTGATTGACGAATACTCTACAGTTGATTAGAGCCCATGATGATGCGAAGATAATTAATCACCTAACTTAAAGAAGTGTACATTCATAACTCATCTAACCATTATAGGTAATCATTTACAAAATTAGCCATTTGTGATTATAATATTAAGGTACTTAGGTACATTTTTATCTTCTAGATCAGTAATGTCGTCATAATTTAAATGAACTCACAGATAGCAATGGGGCACTGCACCAAAGCAGTATTACAAAATATGTGAAATAAAACTGTAATACAAATTGCTCTATAAAATTTAATAGAAATAAATTTATTTATGAAAATTAAGTTATGAAGTTTTATTTTTCCTAGGAAAAAAATAACATTTATATTTTGATCAATTTAGAACATTACAGTTAAAAAAATATGTGTTAGAATAACATATTTTTAATAAAATTGCAGCTTTTAATTTTTATACTTTTTTGCTTTTATATCAATAAGAACTAACGTAAGGAACAATTCATATTTATACTATGAAAACACATGCATATTTTTTGATGTTTTTAAAACCAGTGAATGATGTTGAAATATACTACACCTATTATTCTTATTAACTAACTTTAATTACAAACTTACACATTATTGTCATTGGAAATAAATTAATTTGGATATTCTATTTGTTTAGAAACTTTTTTACCTATTGTAGTTTTTTTAAAACCTACTTGATTTAAAACAAAAAAATGTCACCTGTTGTGACAAAATAAGGTCTTTTTTACTAGAAAACAATCTAGTGAGCTTTTCTAATAATACTTTATTTGATATACCATATGATCGAAAAAAACGGCGTCAGTGATGGCTATGAAATGAAGATCGCTGTCATTTTAAATGTAAATTTATATGGGAAATGTCATCGATTGCCATTTCCCAGCCAACTGGACGCCGTTTTTTCCGTCCCATCTGTTAATCTTTTTATTTTAAGGAAGATTTAGGAAGGGTAGCTTAAAACATGTTTGTCAATCAATTATCTTTATATGTCGTTTGTAAAAATATTTTACAGTAGTAGAAAATAAAACTGTTTTTAAGGCGAACAGCTTCTTTGCTAAAATATTTTTTGGTCCCAATACATAATAATTTACATTTTTTTTAACCTCAAATAATAAATTTTATGGAAAAATTGCAGAAGTCATAAAAACGTTCTAAATATACAAATCTATCCATTTTTCCATATCTCGTTGCTCCAGTTTTTGTCAAATTAACGAATATTAGAAATAGTTTATTTCAACCTCTTCAGCTTATTTTAAAAATGTTGACAAATAACAAAGAATACACCCCTTAAAGTTTCGCATTTGTCTTGATATACTCTGTATAAGACAACAGTAAATAACTTGTAATATAACTTCGAAATATAAATTTGAAATTAAAATAATGATTTGTTCTTAAATTTAATTTAAAAGTGATTTACGTTATTTATTAATTGAAACGTTTAAAATTTGAATATACGTTCAAAAGTTTTTTTTTACAATAAATTTGTTTATGATAAATAATTTTATAATAAAAATATGACCGAATTTCCTGGAACGTTTGCCAAATTTGTACAGGGACATCATTTTAAGTGTCTCACTCGATTTATAATTTTTCTGTTTGGTATTTAAAGATAGTAGAAAGAAAAACTATGAATGTAATTTTTCTGAGGATGCCGATTCTGCCAAATTTTTTAAAACGTCAATTTTGACAGTCCTCACGCCATTTATAATTTTTAAATGTAGAAACCCCCACATATTTTAGCATGGTTTCAGTCGTAGACATATTTTAGCTAATTTCAAAAATATGTAGTTTAGTATACTTTGCGCTTACCGTTTTCGATATACAGTGGATTTAAAAATGAATTGTTCCAGAATCATTTAAGTGTCTCACCCAATTTAAAATTTTCCTCTTTTCTATTTTAAAATAGTAAAAGATATTTTAATGGGATTTTTCGCGAGGATGCCGATTTTCTACATTAAATTTTTTACAACGTCAATTTTGACAGATTTGACGCCATCTTGATTTTTAAATGAAACCCCTCATATTTTAGCATGGTCCGGACTATACATATTTTAGCTAATTTCAAAAATATATAGTTTAGTATACTTTGCACTTACCGTTTTCGATATACAGTGGATTTAAAATGAATTGTTCGAGAAATCATTTTAAGTGTCTCAATTAATTTAAAATTTTCCTTCTTTCTATTTTAAAATAGTAAAAGATATCTCAATGTAATTTTTCGCGAGGATGCCGATTTTCTACATTAAAATTTTTTACAACGTCAATTTTGACAGATTTGACGCCATCTTGATTTTTTTAAATGGAAACCCCCCATATTTTAGCATGGTCCGGTAGACATATTTTAGCTAATTTAAAAAATATATAGTTTAGTATTTCTTCATTTGAAAAATTTATGTTTACAATTTTTGTTTATTTTAATTTACAAAGTTTGGATGTGACAGCTTCACATTTCTGAGAGCAACGGCGATTGAACTTGTTTCCATGGCTAACTAAGTGAAATTGTTTAAAAATGATAAGAATTGGCTATAACTCAGTAATTTTTTGAAGAAAACATATTATAGCTTATATCGCAGAAAAGCTTTAAAAATGGCGCTTTTTATGAAGTCATGGCCAACTATGGTTTCCATTTAGAAAAACATATATTTGTGTCATATGTCAAAATGAAAATGACAGGCTTTAGAGAAAAACGGAGGACAAAATCTCATTAGGGATGTGATTATCTACAACTTTATCTGAAAACTTTTGTCTAAAATAGCTTATAATGGAATTAGGGACAATTTTTAAAATAGCCGAAATTTGTTTTTTCGAAATATCTAGTAAAGCCATGAACTTTGTCAAAAAATCTGAAAGGCGCATATTTATGACCCACAAAAACTGCAATTGTTTCCCCATTTAACCGACTCTCTATCTTCAGTAGTTTCTGAGATACCCATAGAGAACATCGTCGGAAACTCACCCTGTAAATATGATTTTAATAGATTTTTTTTTTAAGAAGAATCAAAGTATAAATAAATAAAAAAAATTAAGCGTCGTAATTATCAAATTTGACATTTCAAGCAATTTTAAAAATTCGAAAATTGTAAACTGGATGAGTCACTTAAAAATAATTCTAAAGATTTCATTTTTAAATCCACTGCATATCGAAAACAGTAAGTGCAAAGTATACTAAACTTACATTTTGAAATTAGCTAAAATATGTCTACCAGATCATGCTAAAATATGTGAGGGTTTCCATTTAAAAAAAAATCAGATGGCGTCGTATCTGTCAAAATTGACGTTTAAAAATTTTGGTATAGAGAATCGTCATCCTCGCGAAAAATTACATTAGAAAATCTTTCTACTATCTTAAAATAGAAAAGAGGAAAATTTTAAAATTGGTGAGACACTTAAAATGATTCTGGAACAATTCATTTTAAATCCACTGTATATCGAAAACGGTAAGTGCAAAGTATACTAAACTATATATTTTTGAAATTAGCTAAAATATGTCTACCGGACCATGCTAAAATATGTGGGGGTTTCCATTTAAAAAAAATCAAGATGGCGTCGTATCTGTCAAAATTGACGTTTTAAAAAAATTTGGTATTGAGAATCGGCATCCTCGCGAAAAATTACATTAGAAAATCTTTCTACTATCTTAAAATAGAAAAGAGGAAAATTTTAAATTGGGTGAGACACTTAAAATGATTCTGGAACAATACATTTTTAAATCCACTGTATATCGAAAACGGTAAGTGCAAAGTATACTAAACTATATATTTTTGAAATTAGCTAAATATGTCTACCGGACCATGCTAAAATATGTAGGGGGTTTCCATTTAAAAAAAATCAAGATGGCGCCGTATCTGTCAAAATTTGACGTTTTAAAAGAATTTTGGTATAGAGAATCGGCATCCTCGCGAAAAATTACATTAGAAAATCTTTCTACTATCTTAAAATAGAAAAGAGGAAAATTTTAAATTAGGTGAAGACACTTAAAAATGATTCTGGAACAATTCATTTTTAAATCCACTGTATATCGAAAACGGTAAGTGCAAAGTATACTAAACTTACATTTTTGAAATTAGCTAAAATATGTCTACCAGATCATGCTAAAATATGTGAGGGTTTCCATTTAAAAAAAATCAAGATGGCGTCGTATCTGTCAAAATTGACGTTTTAAAAAATTTTGGTATAGAGAATCGGCATCCTCGCGAAAAATTACATTAGAAAATCTTTCTACTATCTTAAAATAGAAAAGAGGAAAATTTTAAATTGGGTGAGACACTTAAAATGATTCTGGAACAATTCATTTTTAAATCCACTGTATATCGAAAACGGTAAGTGCAAAGTATACTAAACTATATATTTTTGAAATTAGCTAAAATATGTCTACCGGACCATGCTAAAATATGTGGGGGTTTCCATTTAAAAAAAAACAAGTACAGGAACGAACCATATGCGACAAAGATAGAAGATTTAGATATGTCGTTACTGTTTTTTGTTTTTAATGGATATTTTAAAAGCCGGGTAATATATGGTAATCTGTGATGGTAATATACTATATACCTTTGACTGTCTTTGATTACAACTGTGTGATTAGTGATAATTATTATTAAAATGTCTGGTAATAAGTGTCAATTTTACAATTGTGAGATTTCTCGGAAATCAGGTGTACATGTGTTTAAGTTTCATGCGTCAAGAGATCCTAATTTATGTACAAAGTGGATAGAAAATTGTGAGTTCATTCATATAGAATTTTTTTGCACATTTTGTATGTAAAAATACGGCGTTAAGTTACCTTAGAAATGGTGATCGATGGCTTTTACCATATACCGTATGATCGAAAAAAAAACGGCGTCAGCGATGGCTATGAAATGAAGATCGCTGTCATTTGATATGTAAAATTATATGGGGAATGTCATCGATCGTCATTTCCAAACCAATCGGACGCCGTTTTTTTTTCGATCGTAGGGTATAATTTAACACATTAAGAGTTGTCCATCGTTATATTTCTATATCTATGCAAAGTTTACGATGGATAAATCAAGTAATATTAAGTGGATACAAATTATAAATGAATCAGTGAATATAAACTGTTATAAATTATAAGTAGGTAATGCAGTTAGTGAATATACCGTACGATAGAAAAAAAAGGCATGGGAGTGGGCTTGGAAATGAAGATCGCTGTCGTTTAATAGGTATGTAAAATTATATGATAAATCTTATCGATTGTCACTTCCAAATCAACATGACATGCATCTGTACATCATTAATCTCACGACTAGAGTTTCCTGAAATCCCGAACTCCCAGGATCCCGGCGGCGTGTATGTTTATCTCCGAAATCCCGATATTAAATTCCGGGATCCCGAAAATCCCATAAAATTTAAATGTCCAATCTAAAATGATTCGACTTTATACACCTTTCAAAGATCAACAAAACAAAGTAAAATTCATATTTAGTAAGTAAAAAAATGCAGTTTCAGACAATAGTTTGGTTTGGTTTGGTCGAGTTTTGTTAACACTGTCTAGTCTGGGCTTTTTTATTTGATATATGTTAATCAAATAAAAAAGCCCAGACTAGATAAAATCAGGAGCTAACTAATAGAATTATATCAATTCTCTCTGATGTAGGATAAGTTTCTATTTTCGGAAAATTTCTTAGATTTTTTTTTTGTTTCAACTGACGAACTGACACAAAATTATAACTAGTTGCTAAAGTTGAACTAATTTGACAGCTATGTTGAAGTAACGTCAGACATATCACAGCCACCCTAGATTTTATCAAATAATAAAGATCTATTCACACTAAATCATAGAAATGAAAATATCTAAGAAAATCTTTGTTTGAGGGGTAGGCCGGCAACCTTAATAGTATTTGGAAGTGACATGAATTTCCCAACCGGCTACGTCGCTTCACATCGCGTGGCCGTGGTGTGGCTCCAAATTCGTTCGTTTTAAAAATATTATTAGATTTGGCTATAGGCGCCCTCTGTGTCATTAATAGGGAACTGTCTCATCGAAAACATGCTGTTCCGTAAGCAATGGCCATCTGGATTATATGTTATCTGTGATACAATGGTTATTATAATTAAATATCAGGCTATAGAGAGTAAATTACAATTTAGGTATTTGTATTAAAATTTATTCTTCATTTTCACAAAATGTAAAATATGTCAAAATCCTTACATTTTAGTCATATACGTCTGTAATAAAATGCACCTAACAAATCAATAATTAATATATAGGGTGTTCCATTACAAAAAACATAACTTTGATGCGCAACTTTTTTTTGGGGACACCCTGTAGAATTCTATATATTTTTATAAAATGCTTTCAATTTATTATTATTATTATGTATACTTGTGTAAATCCTATCTAAAATAATATTTTTACGACAATGTGCATGACTTACCTAATAGTTTTCTTATCAGTAGATTTATTTTCAGGCCTTGCTCTATTCAAAACCTTCAAAAATTCAGAAGTTTTGGCTCTCATTCTACTGTGAATATATGCCTTTGAACATTTAATGTGATAATGTAAATAATGCCGAAACATATGAATCAAATTAATAGTATTATCTCTTGTATTTTTTGCTGTATGCCTTGGAAACAATACAAAAGTCACATAACCTGAAAGATATACCCTATTGAATATAGACACCTATATACAGGGTGGTCCGAACTGTATTCCGGAAACTTCGACAGCATATTCTGCAGATAAAAATAAGTAAAAAAGTTCGTATAAATGTATGTCCTAAAATGCTTAGTTTCGGAGATACAGGGTGCAGAAGTTTCATTTTTATTTCGATTTCCAAATAATTTAATAGTAAAGTCAATATTTGAATGAAAATTGGTGCATGGGAGTTTTTTGACATGAGAAATTTGATTTTGATGTCAATATGGCTTCTACTAGTACAGGGCGCCACCTACATATTTTTTACCCGGTTTGAAGAGTAATAACTTTTTGTCTGTACCTGTATATAACTACTGAGTAAAAAAATAAACATTTACGACGTTTTTTACATAAAAAAGGTCTCTAGGTAAAAATCGCTACGAGTAATCGTTTTCGAGATATTTGGAATCGAAATTATCAATACCTGTTATCATTGACATTAATTAAACATGTTGACTAAATAGTTATTAGACTGAAATCATAAATTTGAAATATTTTTATGCCAAAAGTGCAACAGAAACTGTTTTATAATTTTTTGCAGAAAAATTTATGATTAATTTAAAAAAAATAAAAATTTCCCAAATTTATTATTTCAGTGAAATAACTATCTACTCAACGTGTTTATTTTTTGTCAATAATGACATGTATTAACTATTTCCATTCTAAATATCTTAAGAACGGTTGCTCGTAGCGATTTTTACAAAGAGATATTTTTTACGTAAAAAGTCACAGAGATGTAGATTTTTTCGCTCGGTAGTTTTATACAGGTACGGACAAAAAGTTATTACGCTTCAAAACAGTTAAAACACATGTAGGTGGCGCCCTCTACTAGTAGGAGTCATATTGACATCAAAATCAAATTTCTCATGTCAAAAAACTCCCAGACACCAATTTTCATCCAAATATTGACGTTACTTCAGAAATTATTTAGAAAAAATTGAAATAAAAATGAAACTTCTACACCCTGTATTTCTGAAATTAAGCATTTTAGGACCTATATTTATACAAACTTTTTTACCTATGTATTACTTCCGGAATACAATTCGGACCACCCTGTATATATACATAAAATTAACAATAGTGAATTGTTAAAAAAAACGATATTTACTAACCAACATTATTATCTACTTTGGCATCGGTATCTTGTAGTTCTAGAGGTGGTTCTCGGTGACTAAACAGAACTGGAGGAGCGGTATGTGAGGCCCTTAATCCCTCCTTTAGTTCTTGCATAAAAACTTTACCTATAATTACATCATCTTCATCACGAAATCTGGTTGAAAATACTACAGTAACTCTATCCGATTTGGCTTCAACATACCTAAATAATAAATATACATTAACATAAATTCAGAAATCTGTAACAATAGAATTAGGGTTTTCAAACTGGGATCCCAATGTATGTTTATTCCCAAAAACCCAGGATCCCGAAAAATGTAAATCTGAAATTATTTGACTTTATAAGTGTATAAAGTCAAATGATTTAGGTTGGGTATACACTTATAAAGTCAAATCATTTTAGATTGGGCATTTTAACTAAAGTTAGTCTTTCAAAGATCTTATTTTATTTATACTCAGCAGAATGTCAATGTCTAAATGTTGTATTTCTGTGTTTGCTATATTTTATTTTGTTTTGAAACAAGAATTTTATTTTTTATACTTACCAAATATAAATGTTACTTGTTTAGTCAATTTTAATAAAGCTCTTTTCCCATTTTCGTTTTGATATATGTACCATTTTTATTAAGTATTTATATTAAATTTCCCATTCTGATAGTTAACAGTGATAGTATCTCAGGATCCCGGGATAATAGGTTCTAATCCCAGGATCCCAATTCCGAAAATTGGAAACAACACTCTACATAGAATAATTTTTATAAATAGAGTATTAGCAGACGTAATAAGCTGTTGATTAAGTTGAATTTGGATATTAAAGGTAAAATTTTATGTAATTTCAAGATAAATTATTCATTAAAATTATCTGTCAATGTCAAAAACAAGCTATTTTTTTATTACACTGTATCACTGTATACATATTCTAAAGATTCAGGGCAGATTTTGACAGATGATATTCAAAAAACGGCAGAAAATACAATTTACTTGTGCATTTAAATGTGGCTCAGTATATTCAACAAATTGAAGAAATCTCAAATTTTAATAGTATAAGCAAAAACTTAAGGCGCTCATCATTGGTATGATAAGTGCATTGAGTTTTTGAATGAACACAACGTATTATACTGGCATTGGGGTCTGTATACAGGGTTCGGCAATAGTGCGTCGGGCATCTGTAGCTCCTAGAATAAAAAACTTGAGAATTTTGTTTAAGTGTAAACTTCAAGTATGTACGAGGATGTATTTCAGGAAAATATTTTAACTTCTATAGGGTGGCTCAAAAAAGTGTGAGTGGATCGGTATATTTTTTTTAAAATGGAACACCCTGTATATTATTGTATTTTTGGCTTCCTTTCAGATCTCTTTACATAATCCTAAGATATGAGTAAATATATTTAGGTAATTTCAGAGATATTAATAAATAAATAAAAAACACATATTTTTCAACCTTCCTTAAAAAAATTGATTAAAAAGACAAGATCTGTCTCGAAATCAAAACTATTTTAGGTATTTACTTTAGATAGTCTATACTTACTTTGTTTTAAAATATTGCAATTTTAAATCATACAGAGTGTTCGAAATTCTAAGCCAAACTTTTTAAAATATAAAATAATTTTTATTCGTTTTCTTTTAAATGGAACACCCTGCATATTATTTTTTTATTGGATGGAGAGTTAAAAACGAACAATTTTTTTATTTACAGTATTTCAATTTTTTTTACGGTTTCGCAGATATTCACGGTTTTATATTCCATATGGCATTTTCCACAGTAAATACAGGGTGTTCCACTTACGAAGAAAAATTATTTTATATTTTAGAAAGTTTGGCTTAGAATTTTGAATACCCTGTATTGATTTTGAGACAGATCTTCTCTTTGTAATCAATTTTTTGAGGAAGGTTAAAAAATATGTATTTTTTTTATTTATTAGTATTTCTGAAATTACCTAAATATATTTACTCATATTTTAGGATTATGTAAAGGGACCCGAAAGGAAGCCAAAAATGCAATAATATACAGGGTGTTCCATTTTAAAAAAATAGTGCGTCGGGCATCTGTAGCTCCTAGAATAAAGAACTTGAGAATTTTGTTTATAAATAAATAAATGCCTTTATTGTCAAAAAAGTTTACAATTTGTAGACAAAGGTAAAGTAAACAAACAAAGTAAACAAACAAGGTACATAAACAAACAAACAAAAGATAATACAAAACATTATACAAATAATATTGTCAGCCTTATTGTTTAAAATAAACATTTATAAATGTTTATAATGTCAAAGAATAAAAAAACAAAAATAATGTTCAAAAATATTTAGTTTTTTTGTTTATATTTATAGTAAATATCAATGACCTCTAAATAAATTTATTCCGGTGTCATTGGTAAATATAGCAATAGCAAACATTAGACCAGTGTTTACAAGATCAAATTCGATTTTCAAAATATAATTCATTCACGGCGTAGAAAGCCTTGTCTAGTAAATAAGAGTTCAATGCTTTGCGAAATGAAGAAAATTATGTTATGGATTTGATTTCAAATGGCAGGTAATTGTGCATTTTTTTTCTAGTTGTATAATATTGAACTTTTAACTAACTCTGAGCGTGGGGTTGGTAGAAAAAGATCTTGCTCCGCGTTCCTGTGTTCTGCGTTTAAGTATAAACCTAAAGTATGTAGGTTTACACTTAAATAAAATTCTCAAGTTCTTTATTCTAGGAGCTACAGATGCCCGACGCACTACTGCCGGACCCTGTATATGTATTGAAAATTGCTGGTGCTGGTAGGTCTATAAACATTAAGCACCATTAAGTATAAACACTGTTTCACCCTTAATTGTTTCTGCGACAGCATTTCCTTTGTGTAATAGTAAATAAATAGTAAAATAAAAAAGAGTAATAGTAAAAATACTTTTAGATCATCTGTAAATTGATACACACCTATGATACACTATTTGGAATCAAGATCATTATTATTAAAATGACAGACACAATTGGCACTGTCATGTTTCCTCTCGTTGGAGAGATACTTTTCAATTCGATTAGAGTTCTACTGCGGATAGTCATACAAGGGCCAAAAAATTATTACGATTAACTTTTTGAGAAAACATTATTCATAAAAAACATTATTAAAAAAAAACATTATTCATAAACGTTTTTGTTTGTTCTAAAATGATTAATCCTTGAAAAAAAGAGTATTTTGGCATTGGAAAAATTTCTAGTGGTAGAATACCTAACCAGTTTTTTTCAAGAAATGAACCCTCCAGTGCCACAAAGGAACAAACTTTTTATTTATGGTTAATTCAATTTAATACTTTTTAACATTTCCCTACTGTCTCTAAAAAAAATTAAAGAACGAGAAATTATGGTTGTATTTTTTTGATGGCTGTCTCATGGTTGGAATTACATGTACATTTTCTTTTTTCTTGGCAGTCCCTGGCAGAAGCGTCACTCTAACAGCAGTCGACTATACTTATATGGCAGACATAGGCAGTCTTCTTCACAGTAATTGGCAGTAAAATAATATTTTGGCAGTACATGTGCATTATTTATCCAAGTGAGACACACCTCGAATTGTAAAAAATGTCTATACCTATGTGGCGGATCTATCTTTCCAAAAAATCCTTTATGGAAACAGAACGTCAACGGTTTCTTGTAGACGTATCTGTTTTAAAAAAGTAAAGTGTTCTCGAATAGTTGAATTTAAATATTTTAAATAGTTTTTTTTTCTTTATTCTTTGTATTTTTTTTGCTTCCGACGATGGAAAGAGATAACTTTCCGAAACGTTAAGGCTTTGTTAGGCAAACTAGTATTACTATAAACATAACTTCTGACAAGCAGCGTGTGTTTAGGTTTAACGCAGAAGTGTTTACAAAAAATAATTATTTTATTTTGTAGATTTTCTTGCAGTGCAGTGGCGAAATACCCATAAAGGATTTTTTTGGAAACACCTCGAATTTTTTATAAGATCAAAAATCAAAACGTATCTCTATAAAAGATATGATATTAAATATTTTAACTAAAATTAATTTTAATTTAAACTAAATGACTTACCATAGAGTTGCTAAAAAACATCAAGGTGTTATTTTTATATTTTGTTATAATTTTTAGTACTTAGAAATTATTCAACCATATTTTCATATTTCTCTGTAAAATATATAGAAATTTGAAAAAGTATAAATGGGATTAGCCATTTTAGAAGAAGCAAAAACCGTAATGAATAATGCATTTTACAAAATTTAATTATAATATGTACAGGGTTGTTCACAACATACGACACGAAGTATTGTAGCTAAACGATTAGATTTTTACAAATTGTAAGTTTTGGTTTCATTGAAGGACTATTAGAGCTACAATTTAAAAATATTTTTGCAAGATACAGAGTGTCCCAAATAAAAAATATCAAAATTGTATTTTTTTAAATGGAACACCCTGTATATTATTACATTTTTTGTTTCTATGATTAAAATAAAGGTAAATTTGATTAAGGTTTATTACACTTAACCTTTAACGTTTTTGAAATATTTTCAATTTTGTGAAATTGCAGTAAAAATTTTAAGGCTTCATTTCTCCAAGGGTATCAAAGTTTTTAATACCAAATATTTACTGAAGTCTATTTATTGATCAGTTCTTGTGTTGCAATAATAAAAATAATACTACCTCATACAGAGTGTCTAAAAATGTATTTTAAATAATTTCTAGCTTTAAACGGCAATAACTTGTTTAATTTAAATGGAACACCCTGTACATTTTAAGAGAATCAGATGCACAATTTAATTGTCTATCAAATTGTATTATACTATTTTTTACCTATCCCGTCAAGTTTTGATAGAAAATGCATTTACTTATAATTTAGACCTCAATTATCAATATACCCATGGCAATTGACATTTTAGATTATTTTTAAAGCAACAAATGTACAAAACGTACAGGTGCTAAAAACGATAATTACTAGCCCATGTGTATACAAAAAGAAAACTCTTAAAACTTTATAAAAGAGTATATACCATTAATTAAATATACCACCTTTATTTCCGCCCAAATATTAATTAATTACAATTAATTGTGTTAGTTAATAAATTATTCTAAATGAATGTGGATTTGAGTCTGAAATCAATTAAGTTATGAATATGAACGTCTCTGTTGTCATAAATAAGCATTCGACAAAAAATAAAATAACATTTTTAAGGTGTTATTTTTTACCACACTGTCTAATATACATACAAAATTCAGTTTTTAAGTATTTGGAGCAATTATTAATAATCAACGTAAGCAGTTAATTAATGTAGTTTGGATACTGGAATCATATTAATTAATCCTCTTTAACAAATATTGAAACCATTTTTTTTAATTTTTTTAATGAAATAAACGAACTATATCAACAATATTTAGTATCTGTACTCTTTAAAAATTTGTTACGTCTTTCAAAATTATATAAAATGTCAATATTCCATGGGTATATGAAAATAAATATTTATTATTAATATTTATTTATTTATAAATGAGTTCTAAATTATAAGAAAATACATTTTCTACAAAAACTTGAAGAGATAGGTAAACAATGGCATAATACAATTTAATAGACAATTAAATTGTGCATCTGATTCGCATAAAATATACAGGGTGTTACATTTAAATTAAACAAGTTATTGCCGTTTAGAGCTAGTCATTATTTAAAATAAATTTTTAGACACTCTGTATAAGGTAGTATAATTGTCATTATTGCAACACAAAAATTTAGTAAATAGAAATACTTCAGTACAATATTTGGTTTTAAAAACTTAAATATGCCTAGAGAAATGAAACATTAAAATTATTACTGTATTTTGACAAAAACCTAAATATTTCAAAAACGGTTAGATTAAAATGCGGCAAACCTTAATCACCTTTACCTTTATTTTAATCGTAGAAACTAATAACTATCTAATAATATACAGGGGGTTCCATTTAAAAAATACAACTTTGATATATTTTGTTTATTTGGGACAATCTGTATCTTGTAAAAATAATTTTAAATTGTGGCTCTAATAATCCTTCAACGAACCCAAAACTTACAATTTGCAAAAATCTCAACTTTTTTTTTAGTTTAGCTACAATACTCCGTGTCGTATGTGGTGAACAACTCTGTATACTATATCAGAATATACATGTTATCACTGAAAATTCAATTTCCATTCAGAAACTTTCAGTTGAAAATATATTATGATAATAATTATAAACTGGAATTATAAGATTTATTCGTCTAAGTATTAAATTTCTCTCTTAAGTCATAATACTTAAGATATTTTGGTTCCGAATAACAAAATTCAGGATAATTAGATATCAGATAGAGATGCGAAACAAATTGCCACTCTTAAATTAAAATCAGGACCTGAAATCCAACTTGGCACAACTGTAGACAACCCCAAATACTTGTAGGAAGATTTAATTGAACGACTTTGATGTTTGTTAGTGTCTAATAGAATCTACTAATTATTAGTTTTACACAGAGTAAATTATTTTATATTTAAATCAAGCAAAACTAAATAAGTGCCTTTTACTAATGTCTATATATTTTTTTTAATAATGTACCTATTATTAATTATTTAGAAAGCTAATCCTATACTTAATTATTTCTTCAAATATCATTTTCAATCAACCAATTTTACATTACATATTATAATTACCTGTTATTTAATGAAACTGGATTAAAAATGATTTATACTTACAAAGTTTCATCACTTCTATAATGGATAACAGCCCTCTTATGGCCTTCCTCTCCAGCCTCTTGAAAGTCAAAATACTTCTCAAAAACAGAGGCAAAGCAATTTCTTTTTAGTAAACCAATTTTTTTTACAATATCAGGCCAATTTGATGGTATATTTTCTAGGTCTAATAAGCATGACACATTATATCCAGTCTCTGGAGCTATTAAGTAAGACCCATATTCTTTTTTTAAGAGTTCATCAGCACCATGTTCTTGAAGTTGCTTATAAAATTTTAAGGCTATACTGATCTGTAATAGAAAAAAGGATTGTACTAACTTTAGTTGAATAAATTTACATTACTTTTAAATAGGAATTTAATATATGTAAGTAAAAAAAATACATAATATTGATAAATATGTTGAGAGTTTAAAAAGCATGAAAAGTTTTTAAATACCTAATATAGTGTAGGGGTAATAAATAATATATATTTAAGATAAATAAAGGATAAACTTACTCTAATCTTCGACTTATCTCCATTTAGATTAGAAATGCGATATAAAACACCATCAAAATCTGCTACTTTTACATCTATGCTTTCGTTTTTTAACCTACAAATTTATAGACAGACTCAATGCACCACCCATTGGATCATATATCTCTATTGTAAATCATGACTCATTTATTCATCATCTATCACAACGAATAAAGATCAAGCTTTGCAATGCTATAATTGAAATAAACGCAGGAAATACAAACCAAGTTTATCAATTTTTAGAACACCTCACCCAAATAAAACCGGCCTAGTTTCGTAAGTTATAAAACACTCGTTTACTCACCCAGCCTGTGCATTTTTTATTTTAACAGTTAACGTTTCCTCTACTACCCTGTTATTTATTTCTAATAAAATCATAATAACTTTTTATAGATACAAGTACTAATTTACTAAAATCGAAAAAAAATTAGAGATGACATGGGAGGTGGATACTCGGTTCTTTAAAAAATGATGACTGTTGTAGTGTCATTGTCATTACTGCCATTTGTCAATTACGTCAATAACATCCTTTTGACTGTAAAACAGAATCCTTCTAGGTGCTTCTAGCCTCCATAAACAGAATTTACAGAATTCTGTATTGAAGTCGAAATCAGGGACATGCGTTGATCTATGTTCCGGTGTTGCCAATAGTAGCGGAATTTCTTTACGGTAGAGGATTTTATTATGCTTGTAGCGACGCGTGACGTATCCGCGGAAAATAATTCTCTTCTTAAAAATAGCGGAAATCTTTTCCATAAAAAAAAATAGGTGAAACTAATTATTGGTAGGCACAATCTTTGAATAATTGTTTATAAACAATATAAATAATATGTAATTCTTTATATTATAATATAAAAATGGTGCATGGTGATCAGTGGGACAACTATAGAGGAGAGCTATAAGGGGTGCTTATGGCTCCCTTCCTTTACCCCCATAATAATTTCATCGATAAGTGAGATAAGCCGTTCTAAAAGGTTTGAGTCCCTCTAAAAATTGGTGTCTAGTTGCACCACTGATGGCGATATATCTATAAAGTATTTATTTTATTTACTGTTTATAAATTTACTTATTAGAAGATTTCGTACTAGTTGTGGTACTGTGGTGTTAGGCATAAAAAGTGTCTGTACTAATATTCATAAACTAGATTATGCTAGATTGTGCTAATATTAGGATTAGGTATATACCCACCTGCTTAAGTTAGGTTGTTGTTATATGCCGATATTCCAATATTAAAAATCATTAAAAACAATCATTAAATCATGAAAATAATCATTAAATTTAGAGTAAAATGTTTAAGTTGTTAAGAATAATTGTGTATTTTATTGTCTATTTTATTAAAAAAAGTTATAAGTAAAGGGATTCCGAAAATATAAGAAATATAGCCCCATAATTGGGTCTAATGAAAAATGTTGTCTTATTTCAAGCCAACAAAAATAATAATTTGTTGCTCGATTTGTTGTTATTCGGTGTAATATAATTTACTTTATTTACTTTATTAGATTAATTAATTAAGATTTTCTTTGTTAGATACCGTCTAATAATATGTATAGTAATAAAGGTCTGTGATAATACCAAACCAATACTAGTGCCAATACCCATTTTTTAATTGCAACTAACCAAACCAAACCAAACCAAACATATTTATTTTTTAAAATTTAATTACCGCATTCGCCATTCTGTCAAGAACCTAATAGTAAAATGTACAATCATAGTATAAGGAATACAATCCTTGAAGGGTACAATAAAGGGTACGATGTACATTGACAATTTATATGGTGACAAGTGACAATGAACAGTTCAGGAATTAATTAAGACGAACTAGTATTTTATAATTTTATATAATACTAGCTGTTTGGAACAGTGGCGGCTCGTGACCCGTGTGGCTGGGGACAAAATTTTAGTTGCGTCTATTTGCCCCCCCCCTAATTTACATAATACCCTAGCCCAGTTTGTAAATATCTCTATATATAGATATATATCATTATCTCTATATATAGTAATATATTATATATTATATAGACTATAAATAGTCTACTATAAATTTTAATGCATTTTAAATATGAAAAATGTCTCTCAACCCAAGTACTTGTAAATGGTGTAGTAACAAACAAAACAAACAATTTGAAAGCCTCTGGAAATATATTTCCAGGATTATTCTCCTTAAATTATTTTATGCTCGAAATTATCATATCTATTATTAATACCTGCAATTTATTCATTAATTTATGCTGGTCAATAACATTTTTTGTTTGTTAAATCACGTTGTTATAAAAAGTTTGTTAAATCAGATGTTAAATGCATTGGAAATTTTTTATAGGATTCTTTAAATTTCGGATCCGCAAGAGATAAATAAAAATAATTGAGATATACGAGTACCTACCTATTTGCAAACCTTATTTCTAAATATATAACAATGTTATCTAATATTTCATAAAATAAAATTCGCAAAGATATTTGACTTATAGCCGCTTTTATTAACTTATCGAATTGACATAGCATAGAGACTTTTCTGTAATATCTGTTGTATCGTCTTCTTGCACCGAATAAAATAACGCGCTTTTTTATTTCGGATTCTTTTATTTCCGTGGCGTGTTCTGAAATACAACCGGTTATATCATTTTGAATAATCTCGGACAAGCCCGAAAAATGTTTCCAATTTGCTTTAAACGTTTTTTGAGTTTTCTTATAAAAGTTTTAAATGCTACGTATAATGAATCATATGAAATATTCCCTTAAGGAAATGTGATATATCTCCTTATGAAATATACGGAATATCCCCTTAAAATCTGAGCCTACCGAGCCTCCACGACTTCATGAGAAGGCGACTGGAGATTTCGCCTAAGCCCCGCCTTAATATGATACAACTCCGACTTACTCGCGTCGCTACCGCACGATGAGTTAGACAGAGACAGAAGACTGCCGTACGTCGTGCATCGACTCTGATAGTAGGCGATGTAGAAATCGCCGAACAAAGGCCAAACAACGGTCAAAATTATTTTGTTTTCTAACGCAGCGGCACAGTCACCGATCAGCGTATGCCAGCGGTAGTGAATGTGTTAATATACAAGACCACAAATATTAAAATAATATTGATTATTAAAACACTCTTCCCTGTATTAACAGTATTTTTATGTATTGGCAACATTAATAGTAAATAATGTAATGTAATAAATCGCTTAAATTCTGCCAAAATCTTAGGGTAGGCGCCGCCTACCTTGCCTACACTGACGAGCCGCCACTGGTTTGGAATATGTTAAGGATTCTTTTAGTGTATGAAACAGGAAGTGACCAAAAACAATTGAATATACGTCAACCAATCCTAATTTATGTCATATACTAACATACCAAATCTCGTTTTTTTATCTGAGAAAATAAACAAGTTATAAGGGTGAACCACTTTTTATAGACGCACGGTATAGACTATAAATAATTATTATACAATACAGACGGACAGACAGCAGAAGGACAGAGGACCAGACGGAGAGTATACATATTTCACAAAATTTGTATAATTTTAATACAAATTTTGTGAAAGTGAATCCAGTTATTTATTACTTTTTCAACATTTCAAACTACACTTTTTGAAACATGTCCTTCAAATCCTTCTATTTAATAGCTGTTAGTAAGAAGTTTCATTTTAAGTATGCGCACATAGGGCACACATAATTGTTGTTATAAATTTTGTGCTTCTTTGACATTTTAAAAGCGCAAAAAAATTTGCTAATTAAAATTATTAATAACTAAAAACGTCAATAGTCACTTTTAACCACAAAATAGAAATCAATCAATAGTTGATTTCTATTTTGTGCTTTTCTTTTAACTATTAACAAAAGAAAAACATTTTAATACGTACGGTGCCATCTATGAACGAGCCATAATAGGACTCTATTAATATTGAAAAAGAAATTTATGTTGGAATTTTTTTGTCTACTATAGTGACATCAAACAGTGATTTACCAAAGTCCTTTCATAGAGAGCGCTTCATACCGTTTAACAAGAGCAGTTCTATTCATATCCGTTAGATGGTGGAAGATATACTTATAAAAGATGAAAATTTTGAATAAGTTTTTGATTTTGAATATAATGCAAGACTCTAATAGTGCCACTATTATTATAGTGGCGCATATACGGGAGGGGTAATGGGGGTGGTAATACCTCTCCCAGAAATACATTTATTAATAAGATAAAATCTGCTATAAAATTAATAATACCAAAAGAAAAAATCCAAACCATTCCAAGTATATTTGTTTTCACAGTCACAATATCTTTCGTCTTTCGTCAAAAATTCAACTTAAATTTAGGACATTATTTAAATATTGTCACTACTCCTTTTGGACTCCATCTCTAGATTCGCCTCTGTGCTGTAATGTATACTTATTAAATATTGAAATTTGTAAATAACTCTGTATATCTATTTTTAAATTTAAAATTATTTTTTAAATAAAATTACATTGAGTCTGTTTGTAGCAATCTGCGAGCAAAGGTAATGGGATAAACCTAGTTATGTTTGATTTTTGAAAAAAGTAATACCTGGCCAAAGTGACTTAAACTGAAAGTACGAATGTACTGATCATTTAACATGAAAATGTGTTCTGACGTTCATTGTTTGTTCAGTATCACTGAATCAGTCAGACTGCGTCAGCGAAACTGACAAGTGAGAACCCGCCTTTAAATATATTTTCTAAAATTATACAGGGTGTTCCTTAATGATGTGCTAATCTTTAAGGGGGTTGATTCTTGGATCTATTCTAAGAGAAAAACTTCATAATGAATGTATGTCCTAAACATCTTAATTTCTGAGATACAGGGTGGTAAAGTTTTCTAAAAAAATACTTTTTTTCATAATAACTCTGATTTTATTATAGATATCTTTATGAAACTTGATACATGTCTTCTATGTATCAAAATACCTTTTTTGGTGTACAATGAATTTTACTTATTTCAACCAGTGCCGTCCATACGAGTTTTACACTGAATATGTTTGGAGAAAGAGGTGGTACACCACTGACCACTGACTCCTCTTAAAATAAAAATTATTTTCAAAATCTTCATTCATTTCTAAACATTTTACTCTTTGATTTTTTTCGTCCGAATCATAGTTTTTCAATAAAAAAATTAAAGTCAGTTTACTTCAGGGTCAAATCGCTGAAAATCTGATGCGGTGACTGATGTTGTATGGAAATCATTTCTGCATCGGCTGGAAGGAAATGAAAAAATAAAACAATTTTTTTTTATATCAAAATAAGTATTTTGATGCATGGAAGACGTGTATCAAATATAACATCAGAGAGATTTAAAAAAATAAAATAAAACATTTTACCACCCTGTATCTGAAAAGTTAAGATGTTTAGGATAAAATATCACCTTCGTAAATATTAGCATGTCATTAAGGAACACCAGGTATACTAATAAAAAATAAACTATTTTCTCTGTCGATATAATTAACAAAACTTAACAAGTGTTAAGTTTTCTTCTGTTTAATCAATTTTATAAGAAGTACTATTTCATATTTATGCTTTTTACATTCATTATTTTAATCTATTGCATTTTTTACCTAAGTAATTACTCTATGGAAAATCATCATTCTCGCAGTTGTGGAGATGCTTTGAAGTGACTGTGCTGTGATGTAGATAGTTCATTGGAAATATTGATTTTTTGAACTATTTCTTATTTGCCCTACTAAATTATCGAATATTAAATACATTTCTAAAGTAACAGCAGCGTGTTTGGTCGATATTTTTCGGGAAACATATAACTGCACCACTGTATAGATCAGATCATATTTTACTTTCAATTAAGTATCTCGTCCAAAGATCTCGTCACATATTATTTCTTAGCTACGACAGAGTACCTACTGCGACACGGTAAAAAATTGTGGTAAACGATACTAAGTACAATAAGTCACTGTAAATTTCAACGTAGCTAACACATCGCTACTGTCAAAATGTTCCTGCAGAAATATATTTTGATTCACGACAGTCGAGGTAAGTGAAAATTGGCACGTGAGTCAGATCTATGAATATAACTGTAGTAGTTATTGCATATTATATTATGTTTTTAATAGTGTGGGAATGATTATTATGGAGTAGATTCTATTATTTCTATGACTAAAAGAAGTAAGTTTAAAATTTATGTTGCGTAAAAAGTACCTATATATTATTGTAAATTTAATTGGAATCTTAAAATCCATTACCGTAGTAAAAAATTACCTAGATACTTAACTATTGTTTTATCAATCTATTTTGTTTTGATATAGATATTTTGAAATTTTTTAATTCCTTGTTTTACGTCTATACTTCGTTTCCCTGTATCTACCTATAAAGGACGATTTTGGGTTACCTATATTAAATAACATTAGAGGGCATTCGGCTGCCAAAAACCTGTACTAGTATAAAAAATTCTATATAAAATCACAGATTAATTTGTTATCTGTGATAAAATATACATATGTATAGTTTAAAAATCATATCGAAGAGAGGGAGAATCAGGGTGATGATCACAGGATTCCTAAAAGTTTTTTGCAATGTTTACCAGTTAATTTTAGAATAAAATACTGTTCACCGGTCAGTTTAAAGAAAATTATTTGGACTATGCATGGGTTTGAAACTATTATTACTAATATTAGGTTTATCTTATACCCCTCTGATCGATTATACTTCGCTGATGTGCTTTAATTAACTGTATAAATGTACAACCTGCAAAGCAATTTATTGTTATATTCAATTAGTACTATACCGGGTGCGTCTCAAAAGTGGCTCACCCCTATAACTTTTTTATTTTTTCAGATAAAAAAAAACGACATTGGGTATGCTAGTATATTCAGTTCAATTCAAGTCAATTCAAAATGTCTTTATTAAGTATATAAACAGTTGTATAGAAATTAAAATAATATCGATGGCGACGTTCACATTTGTGCTCTTCCACGCAACCATCCCAAAAAAAAAATAAGTAAGAAAAGAGTAGTAAAATGAATAATCAAGTTATTACAGAAGTATGATTAAAGACCTATATTATTCAATAATTAATTACAAAATATATATAAAAAAATAAGGTAATATGAAAAAAGTGAGAAAAAAATTGAACATAAGTTTAAATATTAGACTTTCAACATACGCTCTCCCAACACATAGCCCTTCACTCTCTTTTTAAAAGACTGAATGCCAGAAGGGTGTCCGATATCGTTGGAAATATCATTGTGAACTCGGACCGCATTATAGGAAAATGGACGCTGGAACGAAGCTGATGATATGACCTAAGTTATTGACGTATTCAATTATTTTTGGTCACTTTCTGTTTCAGTGGAAATTACAACAACTTTGGATTTTTAAATAGCACCCTCGCTATTTTTTTACTTTATTCGATAGAAAATGACATTCTGAATAGAATGACAGATCATATGTCAACTTTTGACATTCCCATTTAATAAAAAATCGTATTTTAAAATTCAATCTAGAGTGCCACGGCTATGTTAATAACACTAATTCTTAATCAAGGAGCCTTGGAAAAATAGATTTGATCGGCTAATGTTTTTAGTGTCTTGTCCTGGTAAATCGTATTTTTAATCATATCTCAGTTTTTTCAAATGAAACAAGGGTGGCTCATTAGCATATTGGAAAAAAGCTTTTTTTACGAATAATTTGGTACCACACACTTGGTACTTCGAGTCAAATTTTCATTACGAAACGCAAGTTATAATTTCAAACAAACCATATGCAAAAATGTCAAAAGTTGACATATGATATGTCATTCTATTCAGAGTGTTATTTTCTATCGAATAAAGTAAAAAAATACCGAGAGTGCCATTTAAAAATCAAAAGTTGTAGTCATTTCCGGTAAAACAGGAAGTGACCGAAAATAATTGAATACGTCAATCTGTCCTATTTTATGTCTTATACTAACATACCAAATCTCGTTTTTTTAACTGAAAAAATAAAAATGGTATAGGGGGGCCACTTTTAAGACGCACCCGGTATAATTAAATTTATTACCAACTAAAATGAAATCTATTTAAGAGTCCTAACATACCGATGCTGACCATCATGCGTCAATAAAATTGAATAGGTATGTGTGAAAAGATCAATTATTATTCGTAGAGTTTAACCATTGGCGTAACTACAGAGGGATACTAGATACTGCTGGAGAGCGTAACTATTGCTACCAGAGAAATCTTGCATTTTGACTGAATTATGACTCTTGGCTAAATATTAATTTTTATTTGCTTGTGATTTTGTAAAAATGACGTTATGTAGTTTTATTAGTTCAAAAATGTGTTAGTTCTTATTTTTTTACTAAATTTGTAGGTATTTACGTAGTTCACTGGAATACGGTTTGATAACCAAGTCTATGAAATTTATTGATGGAGAAATTCATGTAAACGTTTTATTCAAAATGTGTTTATTTTTTGATATTATTATTATTTCTTTTTGAAAAACAGAAGCCCTAAACCGCCACCTGGGCTCAACACTAGGCCCCCTCCTGTGCTCAACACTAGGCCTCCTCCTGGGCTCAACACTAGCCCCTCCACCCCTCTATCTGGGGAACACTGGAGATAGAGAGTCTACATGGGATAAAATGGGGAAAAATTGCAGTTTTGTGGGGTCATAAATATGCGCATTTCAGATATTTGAAAAAGTTCATGACTTAGATATTTGGAAAAAAACAAATTTGGGCTATTTTACAAATGGTCTGCAACCTAATTCTATTATAATCTGTTTTAGACAAAAAGTTTTCAGATAAAAGTTGTAGATAATCATATCCTTAACGAGACTGTGTTCCTCTCTTTTAAAAAACTAAAACCTGTAATTTTTGACATATGACACAAACATATGTTTTTTAAATGGAAATCATAGTTGGCCATGACTTCATAAAAGCGCCATTTTTTAAGCTTTTTAGTGATATAAGCTATAATATGTTTTTTTTTCGAAAAATTACTGACTAATAGCCATATATAGTTATATAGTTTAATTTACATATTGGTGTTTTGCAGATATTCGCGGTATTATATTACATATGGCTCTTCCAACAGTACATTTTAACTAAAGCCACCTAATATGATCTTTGACTGGTATTTTACCATTGAAACCCCCACAATATGTTGTATAATATAGGATATCTTTAAAATCGCAAAAAATCTGGGAAAATTTTAAATACAAAAAATGTTCATTATTTAAGTCTGCTTTTAATTGAAAAAAATATACAAGGTGTCGCATTTAAAAAAAATATAGATATAGCACTTTAAATATTCCGATTTTGGTGACCCCATAATAAACACCCTGCATAGGACAAGGCAAATCTTTCTTCGCGGATTTATTCTGTTATCCTTGGTGTTTAGGAAATTAATGCCAAGTATTAATAAAGTTAAATTCACTCCAATGTTTAACCACTTTTCGGATATAGTGTTTTTAACCAAAGTTTTAGTAAAAAAGAAATAGAATGACAACATAGTGCTTCAAATTAAAATAGTGCACTATACCGGATGCGTCTCAAAAGTGGCTCACCCCTATAACTTTTTTATTTTTTCAGATAAAACAGCGAGATTTGGTATGTTAAATTATATGACATAAATTGAGATTGATTGACGCATTCAATTGTTTTCTTTCACTCTCTCTTTTACCAGAAATTACTACAACTTTTGATTTTTAAATAGTATAAAATAAAATGACACTTTGAATCGAAAGACATATCATAATATGTCAACTTTTGACATATCTATTCGCCCAAAAACAAATCGTATTTTAAATTTCAATCTAAAGTGCCATGGCTGTGTTAAAAACACTAATTTTTAATAAAGGAGCCTTGGAAAATAGATTTGATTGTCTAATGTGTTTAGTGTCTTATTCTGGCCCGTTAAAAGACGCCCAAATCGTATTTTTAATCATATCTCATTTTTTCAAATAGAACGAGGGTGGCTCATTAGCATACTTCGATAAAGCATTTTTTTACGAATAATTTGATACCACACACTTGGTATTTCAAGTCAAATTGTCGTTATAAACCGCATGTTACAATTTTAAATAAACGTAAATAAAATATGCGAAAATGTCAAAAGTTAACATATGATATGCCATTCTATTCAGAATGTCATTTTCTATCGAATAAAGTAAAAAATACCGAGAATGTTATTTAAAAATCAAAAGTTGTAGTCATTTCTTGTGAAACCGGCGGAAGTGACCGAAAACAATTAAATATGTCAATCAATCATAATTTATATCATATACTAACATACCAAATCTCGTTGTTTTATCTGAAAAAAAAAATAAAAAAGTTATAGGGGTGAGCCATGCACTTTTGAGACGCACCCGGTATACAGAATTTTATGCTGAATCCAATTATCTACAGAAAATAAGGGGTGCAATTTAAAAACATTTAAAACTTTATCATAACATTTTTGTGACACCCGGTATTCAACAATATATTTTTAGGATATGCACCATTATAAACAATGCAGCAACATATGTGTATAAAACTTTTTTCATATCTTCGATAACGACGATATTGGACTGCCTCGCACTAATGGGCCACCCTGTAGATTTTCTTTATAACTATCTTCATACGCGAATAGAAAGGTCTTTTTATTAAACTTGAAAAAATACCTATAGGAAATATTAATTATGAAGTATCATATAAATAAAATTTTTGTCATACGCTCCCAAAAACAGCTATTTTACGGACTCATTTCAGTCCGTAAAATGTTTCTTTTTCGGCCTAGGCCGTAAAGGTCGTCATGGCAACCTTTATGGACTAAAATGTCTAAATTCGTTATTTGGTTGTTTTATTTTGTCATTCGAAATTTGTCACAAAATCACATAAAATTATACATATATTTATAATTAAATTATTAAATACTAACAATATCAAAAGCTAAGTTATTTGTTTAAAGTAAGTACCTAGGTACTTACTTTTTCGTGGAAATAATTTAGCAATACATCTTCATTTACAACGAATACGCCATTTTTGTCTTTCCATTCATTAAAAACATCATATTCTTTCTGGTAAATGGCACGAGACTTCACAGGAAGTAAATCCAACACGATTTCTTTGGCCTTATTAGCAATATGTTCGGGATTTTGGAACATTTTAAAATTGTTGATGAATTTGTGTGATTTTGTGACAAATTTCGAATGACATGTCAAAATGCGATGAAATAAACAAACTCGTTACTAAGATATGAATTTATAAGCCAACTTTTTCAAACATTATAATTTCAAATATGGAAAATTTGCAAATATGCGTTCTAAAAAACTGTAAAAAGCGTATGACAAAAAATAGTGTATGTAACACGTACCTAAATTATGTTTTTTAGGACTCATCTACTATTTCGGACTCGGCTAACGCCTCGTCCGCAAACAGTAATGATTCGTCCTAAAAAACATCATTTTAGGTACTAGTTACATAAATAGCTATTATGATAAAATTAATAATCTTTAAAATTATTAAGTTATTACATATACATATTTATGTAGAAAAACGCAATATCTGACCATAACAGAATGGAACAATTAATGTTAGATCGCTCACCAAATAGATACCTACGCGCTTTCCTTATTTGATTTTAAAAAAGGTCGTCCTTCTCAGAATAGACCAAGACAAGCTTGTCTCATTCACCTGTATTTATAAACAATAGCATGTTCGTCGTAATTCTAACATTTTGTTGCATTTGTTGTTTTTATTTCCGTCGAAAATTTTTCCTTTTTCTGAATGGTAAGTGATTTTAAAATTTCCCTTTCAAAATTTCTCGGTGCTTGTGTTAACAAACAAGGTGTATTTTGGCACAAGGGAAATAAATTGACGCATGTTGTTTGACAGGAGGGAAAATGTTTCCGTACCTCATAGAAGAGACGAAAAGATCTTCGAAACCGTCTTCGCCCACCGGAAAGAGTAACGAAGAGCACACAAAAACGACTTCGAGTTACGTTTCATCACGCCCCCCTAACGATAATTCTTCTCCGAGACTGCAAGGTTAGTTTTTATTTAAAATAACGTAATGTAAAATAGATTTGGATGCATTGTTACTTTCTCCAACATCTCTTATTTGGTTTTAAATTTATAATGGATCAAAATATCAATTAATAAAAACCATTTTTAAAATGCTATATTCAAAAACCAAATCTTCTAATTTCAAGATTATTCTGTCATTTTTAATAATGAATGAAAAAGTATTAAATGAGAACTATCATTTATAAAAGTAATTATAATAAGCTATTTATTCTATTAGTTTTATGGTAAAGAAGTAATATACAAATTACATACAAGTACTATTAATTAAATAACATACTAATAATTCTAGATATCTATAAAAAATCATTGATTTTTTCAAATTCTATCTATTTCTCTATAGAAAATTACTTAGGTTACCTACTAACTGCCGTTGGTAACGGCAGATCTACTCGTAGAACGATTTATGATAAAATTTTATTTTTGTGTTTGTATTTCCTATCAAGAATAACATACCTAGGTATAAGAAAATGTTAATTTATTAGAAACATTGAATAAGGCCAGTATTACACTATCAAATTTCTTTGTCATAGATCTCTTATAAAAGATATTTGATGAAAAATTTGCCATTGTTGATATAAACTCAACGGCAAAAAAAACCGGCCACTTAAAACTAATCCCAACTTTAAAGTAGAATTTCTCGCGAACCACTCATTAGATTTTGATGATTTTTTTTTAATTGTAAGTTAATTCCTTCTTAACGGATGCTACGTCAGAAATTTTTATTCCGAATTTATTTTGGGTATATACAGGACACAACAATAAGACGAAGTTTTTTGCACAAATTTTGTGACACCCTGTAGGGTGCAGTAGCTGTAGTAGCTATTGCTAAATCAAATCACATTGTAGCCTCATCTTTTGTGAGCATTTTGTTTTTTTTTAATCACGACATTATCTCTGTTTGTATTGCAGATACGCTGCTTTAAAACGAACGTCTCGGAAAAATGCTTCGCAGGCAGAAAGTCTTATGTGTAAAATAATCAAGGCGACATAGGCGAAAACGGATTTATGAGTATTTGCAATATGACAACACCGGTTGTCAAATTAAAAAATGCCATTACATGTGATGGGTGTTGCTCGTATTGTGGTTTTAATTGAGGATGGCCGAAGTCAACGTTATGTGTCGGATACCCTGGGTATACCTCGAACAACAGTACAGAATGTCTGGAATCGGTATATGGCAACGGGAAATTTCACCAGGCGAGTGGGTTCCGGAAGGAAACGGAAGACAAATGCAATTGACGGCCGCTTTATTGTTCGGAATACTTTACAAAATCGTAGAATTACAGCGTTTTAGAATCAACACCTGCTACAAGCCGTGCGTAGAACTCAAGTCAGTGAGAGAACAAACGAAGATTAAAAGAAAACAGCTTGACTGCAAGGAGGCCTGCCACAGGACCCCAGCTACTTCCAAGACATCGCCCAGCACGTCTTCAGTTTGCGCTTTTACATGTGAATTGGGATATTGAGCAATGGACTAAAGTCCTTTTCACGGATGAATCGCGGTTTTGCCTGCGAAGCATTTTTCCGATACGTTCGTTTTAAAGCAGCGTATCTCCAATACAAACAGAGATAATGTCGTGATTAAAAAAACAAAAAATGCTCTCAAAAGATGAGGCTACAATGTGATTTGATTTAGCAATAGCTACTACAGCTGCTGCACCCTACAGGGTGTCACAAAATTCGAGCAAAAAACTTGCTCAAAATAAATTCTCAAAATAAATTCGGAATAAAAATTTCTGACGTAGCATCCGTTAAGAAGGAATTAATTTGCAATTTAAAAAAAATCATCGAAATCTAATCAGTAGTGAATCCATCTCTGAAATTGGGACTCGTTTTTAGAGGCCGGTTTTCTTTTTGCCGGTGAGTGTATATACAATATTTTTTAAAATCATACGTTTACATCATGATTTGTTCCAACCGGACGAGAGAACCGTCCTAGAACGGTAATTTCCTATCAGTCAATTCATTTGTTAATCTTGACAAACGATCAAACTTTTCAAACAATAGTGAGCGACTAGAAATTATCGTCCCAGGATCGGTTCTCGGTGCGGTTGGAACGAAAAGAAAACAAGGTATGATATTGCGCAGGTTGGCCCCTACGTCACAGGTGATAAACAGCACCATTAGTCGGCAAGCTCCGCGCGCGAATTCGTCACATTCGCATTCATTCGTAATTTACACTGTCAAATTCTTTTCTGTCAAGTTCTTTTTATGACTCCATAATTTTATCAAAGGGAAGACTTAAGATTGCGCTGCCGCCGCCGCGCCGTAGAAAAAAACATAAAATTTAAATATGCGCCGAAAATTTTTAGAACAGGAAATGATTCAAAAGAGATAAGTATTTGAGGCGAAGGCGCGAGTTTAAAAAAATACAAATTTTATTTTCATGTCACATGAAATAAATTATCGATTTTTATTCAGCAGCAATAGACTGGGCCTCTAATATATAATAATAATTGTTTTATATTCTAAAAAATAAAAAAACCAAGCTTTTTTGGGTAATGCTTAGTTATATGTTACTTTTATTTTCTTATCTATGGTTACTTTTCATTTTTTTATGTACCTTTAAAAAATGTTACAGCCCAAATAGCCCCAGTTATGTCCCTACTAGCAAAACCTGTGCGTAAAACTATGCTCGCTACCGTAGTTGAACTGATGTAAAAAGTTTTATTAGGTTGAATAATAAATTATAATACACGTTAGACCTTCTGAAGATATCAAAAGATTTACCTATTCATATTTTTAGAATTTTTGCAAATTGAACTTACTAATACCAAAGAATATTCTTTGCTAATACTTTTCAAATAATATTATATATATCGTGTATTTTTATAAACCAGTTGTTTACGGGATTCTCTGATGTGGCAGTATCGCCGGAGCATGAACCAAGCCTATATTGATTACGTATTTCAATGATCCCTGTCATTCGCTGTTACTTATTAATTGTTCCGTTCTTCCGTAATTAATTCTTTATGATTCTTTAGCCCTCTATGCGTCTCCACTTTCGAGTCCACCAAAATCACCGACACCAAAGAAAGGTATCAGATCCAGACGGGATTCGATATACGATTATAAATCAGAAGCGGCGAAAAAAGTCGAACAAATTGCGAAGAATAGGGACGAAAGAAGACAGAGGCAAGCCGACGAGAAGGCTATAAAAGACCAATTAATGCATCTGGAACAAAACAATCCATATTGGGAGTTTGCACAGATGATTAACGAATTTCGAAATGGTCTCGAATTTAAACCGCTTAGAGAGCACGATGCTGTAATTGAAAATCAAATTACGGTAAGGAAATACCTACAACTGATATTGAGATATTTAATATTACCGATTCTGAACCGTCCTAGAACACTACAGCGCATGCTTCTGATATGCGTATCATGGTTCGGAATCGGTAATAAAAAAACGAAATAAGCTATCACTTAAAACTATTTGATTAGATGATCTGCAGTGGTTCTGAGAAAAGTGTGCATCAAATGGTTTTTTTTTAATTATTATTACCTAGTGACAAAGGTAAAAATTATGAATAACTGTATATTATGTTATTAGTGCTTTTGCTTGTTCTAGAATTGATTTTTATATTTAGTAAATTTGAACAATACGGTATGGTGTATGTATTTGAATAATTTTTTAAAACATCTTTTTAAGGTATGTGTTAGAAAGAGACCTCTAAACGAAAAAGAAGACCGAAGAAAGGAGGTAGATGTAATTACAGTAAATACCCGAAATCAGTTAATAGTTCACGAACCCAAACATAAGGTAGATCTTACAAAATACTTGGAAAACCAACATTTTCGCTTCGATTATGTATTTGATGAAACCTGTACCAATGATATTGTATACAAATTTACTGCAAGACCATTAGTGAAAACAATCTTTGAAGGCGGCATGGCCACTTGCTTTGCCTATGGTCAAACTGGATCAGGAAAAACGCACACCATGGGTGGAGAATTTAAAGGTACCTATTTCTAAAATATTTATATACAAGGTGACTAACGATAACGATTGGTCCGAACCAATAAAATATTTTGACTGAATAATAAATGGATCCCTAAATTTCTTGCCATTTTCTTCTCTATAAGCTCTCTTAACGTAAAGATATACAGGGTTCAAACGAAACAAGGCAATTTAGCAACCCCACAATTCCCCACAATTCAAACCCCACGCGGGGGTGACATCCATCCTTAAAATCTTAAATGTAATTCGGGATCGAGTAGCACATTTGAAACGTTATTAAAGCCTCTTTTCAGAGCCGTCTCATTTTTTAATTTTTTGTCACATTTGGTGGAATCGGGCTGAAAAATAAACTTTTCATAAATTGATGATGCTTTTATATTTGATTAATTGTACAGGAATCGAAATGGGGTCTAAAATAAGAAATTTAGTTTATATCAACAAGATTTTGCTTAAGGAATAATACAAAAAAGTAGTACCCTGCTTTGAAACAATTGACACAAAATCAAACAAATTGAAACAAACTTGATTAAATGTTCGAATTGAGCACCCCCTGCACCCACCGAGTACAGGTTCTGCTCAAAGGGTTCTCGGACGTATTGTAATATTTTGGGTGTTATAACCGCGCACTCGTGTACAATTCTTTGACGTAATATTTCTACTGTCTCCGGTTGCGTGGCGAATACTTTTGTTTTGAGATGTCCCCATAAAAAAATCCAGCGGAGACAATCCGATGACCTAGCTGGCCATACAAGAAAGGGGACCCTTCTTCCAATCCTTTCCATCATTATGACATTTCCAAAAGATCCAGATACATATTTCAATCCAGAAAGAACGGGCCAACTAGACAGTCACCAAAAATTCCGATTCCAAAGAACACATTAATTTTTTCAGGGTACTGAGTTTGAACCTCACGGAATTCTCTAGGATTGCTATCAAACCAGTAGCGACAATTGTGGCGATTTACTGTTCCATTGAGGAAAAATGTGCATTCGTCCGAAAAGCACATGTTGAAAAGAAGCCGTGGAGTAGCAATGATCATTTCACTTAGTTCTTCACAGAATTGTAATCGTCTGTCGTAATCATCTTAGTTCAATTCTTGGACTAGATGAAGTTTGTAAGGATGGAATTTGTGGAACTTTAGTAACCTGTGAACACTACTCTTACTTATTCCTGTGGCTGTTGCCAATTTTGTCTAACACTCATTCTTGGTTCGGCCTTGATTTGTCCTAGAACTACCATTTGCATTGCCTCATTGTTAACTACACCAGGTGGAACTTCTTGCTTCTTTGTAAGAACACTTCTAGTTTCTCTAAATTTAGCTAGTAATTCCAGCTCGTACTTTCTATTGACATGTTTATCTGGGTGTCGGTCATTAAATTACTGTGCTATTCTATTGCCACATCCGTCATGACTAAAGAAAGTTTCAATTATTTCAACTTTATCTGCAGTAGAATAAATAATCACGTCAGTTCACAATAATACTAAATAATCTTACAATAATACAAAGAACAGTAATCCTTACAAAATATTAAGAATACTTCTAAACTGAATGACAAGATGAAAAAGAATTAGCAGTACTGCCTCAAAAGAAGATATTAATAAAAACAACTTTTTACCTACCAAAAACTTGTTTACATTTTTGTTTCTTATCGGCTAGTACACGTCTTCTTTTCTACAAGTGCTTTTCGGATCAATGTATACTTTTCATCTACGGAACAGTAAATTGCCACAATTGTTTCAAAGCAGGGTACTACTTTTTGTGTATTATTCCTTAAGCAAAATCTTGTTGATTTAAACTAAATTTTTAATTTTTAAATTTAAGTATTTCATTAAAATTAGCTTCATCAGTCTATGAAAAGTTTATTTTTCAGCCCGATTCCACAAAATGTGACAAAAACTTCAAAAATGAGGCGGCAGCGCTGAAAAGAGGCTTTAATAACCTTTCAAATGATGTGCTACTCGACCCCGCATTCGGCATTACATTTAAGATTTTAAGGGTGGCTGTTACTCCCGCGTGGGGTTTGAATTAGGGGCTTCAAAAATAGTCGCATCTTATTTCCTCTTCGAAAATAAAGTTGACGTGTTTCACCGCTTTGTCCTTTACACACCAGAAATGCCTCTAATTGCCTTGTTTCGTTTGAACTGGGACATCCTGTATATCTAAATCCGCTCTGTGTTCTGTTCCTCAGTATCCTCTATAGATATATTCTATCCATCGAAATGAACTTGTGACACTAATACCTCTGTAATTAGTGCATTTTTATTTTGGACCTTTCTAAAGAATTGAAAAAAAATTGGGCAGCGTTCCCTCATTTGGGGTACCTCTTGTCCGTTTACTAACAGTAAAATCATAATTATGTTGTGTCATATAATTTATTTTATTATATTTTACTTCCTACGGTTAACCGTAGCAAATTAAGTCAAAAACAAATATTATTTTTGTAATTTTAATATATTGCTATACTAAATTGCCCAAAGGTGGTTTAAAAAAAAATTACTTCCTATCATGTTTTTCTTTAAAGGTACTAATAACTGAGATAATTACTAATTATTATTAATAAATTGAGTTAAAATGAGTGTATACAGGGTGATTTACGGCCATGTTTTTGGAAACGGAAACTTTTATTAATTTTTATAATTTACATGGTATTTTCAAAGTTCAGGTTGGTGATACAACAAACTACTATATGATAAAAAAAATCGACGGAATCAGAGTAGGCTTGGCCAAGATCGTTGTCATTTTATATGGCGAATGTCACCGATCGTCATTTCTGCCTGGACCTCTCTTCCCTTCAGTTTTACCTTTGATGATAAGGTGTAGTAAATGATATTTGTCGTTCCCGAGAATAGGGCTAAAGTATACCGATTTTTTTCTTTATTATACTTAGAAGCTCTACCTTGGTTCATGCCATGTAACACCAAAATTTACCGTGTAAAATATATAAAGAATAGAAAAGAAAAACGAAATTATCGGGCAAAACCTACAGTAAGATTAGCCATGAAAACATGACCACATATAAAAACATGACCAAATATGACCAAAACATGGCTAAAATATGACTATCCGTAGACCACTTAGTGTTTCTGCCTCGTTTACTTCCCTTTTTCTTTTTTCAGGATCACTAGATCATCGTTGCTGATCCCTCTCGTATTGATGAAGCCGGAAGGCAGAAACAAGTGTTTACGAGTAGTCATATTTTAGTCATGTTTTTTGATGGTTCATGTTCTTGTTGGTTTTGCCCGATAATTTCGTTTTTCTTTTTTATTACAGTGCCTACGATAACATCCTTTGTTTATATACAGGGTCCGGCAATAGTGCGTCGAGCATCTGTAGCTCCTATCTCCTATAGAATAAAAAAACTTGAGAATTAAGTGCAGACCTAAAGTATGTTCTAGGATGTATTTCAGGAAAATATTTTAACTTCTATACGGTGACCCAAAAAAGTGTGAGTGGATCGGAATGATTTTTTTTAAATGGAATACATACTCTGTATATTATTGTATTTTTGGCTTCCTTTCAGACCACTTTATATAATCCTAAAATATGAGTAAATATATTTCGATAGTTTCAGAGATATTAATAAATAAATAAAAAAAATATATTTTCAGGCTTTTTTGAAAAAAAAAATAAAAATACAAGAACTGTTCTGAAATCAAAACTATATTAGTTATTTAGTTTAGATGGTCTGTACTTACTTTGCTATAAATATGGTAATCGTAAATCGTACAGGATGTTCAAAATTCTACACCAAACTTTTTAAAATATAAAATAATTTTTCTTTGTTTTTTTTTAATGGAACACCCTGTATATTGTTTTTTAAATATATGAATAATTAAGAAATGAACATTTTTTGTATTTAGAGTTTTTCAAAATTTTTAATGGTGTCGCAGATATTTGCGGTTTTATATTTCATATGGCATTTTCACCTGTAATTTTTTTTAAAAAAGCCACTCAATAATTTTTCTTATGCGTGCATCTGCGAAATCATTAAAAGTTTTGAAATACTTTAAATAAAAAAATGTTCATTTTTTAATTCTTCATATATTGAAATAATAATATACAGAGTCTTACATTAAAAAAAACAAAGAAAAATTATTTTGTATTTTAGAAAATTTGCCGTAGAATTTTGAATTTTTATTTATTTATTAATATCTCTGACACTAACGAAAAATATTTACTCGTATCTTAGGATTATGTAAAGTGATCTGAAAGGAAGCTAAAAATGCAATAATATACAGGGTGTTCCGTTTTAAAAAAATCATCCCGATCCACTTACACTCCGATCCACTTACACTTTTTTGAGCCACCCTATAGAAGTTAAAATATTTTCCTGAAATATATCCTCATCATACCTACTTCAGGTTTACACTTAAACAAAATTCCCAAGTTTTTTATTCTAGGAGCTACAGATGCCCGACGCACTATTGCCGGACCCTGTAGAGAATATATAGCATTTATTCTGTAAACTTTGGTAATGCAGAGTCATTTGACATGTGTTCCAAGGTCCAAGGTATCTTCAGTATTCGATGAAATAACTTCAAAAGCTTCGATCTTCCTTATTGCTGTCACTTTTAGGGTCCAGGATTTGAATCCATATAAGAGCACAGAATAAATGTAGCACTTGACCCTACGATAAAATATAAAAATATTAATTAAAAAAATAAGACACAATGTCTATACTTTTAAGCAGATTAATTTCTTTAAAAAAGACTTCTGGATATTTCGTCCACTAGAAGAAAATTTACAAAATAAAATAATTATTTTTTTGTAAACTCCGATTCGTGATAGTAGTGGCGAAATACCTTGAAGTATTTTTTGAAATAATAAGAAACATTATAAGTATATAATATCAGCGCCATCATTTAGTTAGAAACACCCTTTGTGACTTTCTTACATAACTTTATTTTACTTTTAGGTAGACAACAAAATTTCAAAAACGGGATATATGGATTAGTGGCTATGGATGTGTTTAAATACTTAAATTGTCCTAAGCAATCCAAAATGAATTATATCGTATCGGCCAGTTTCTTCGAAATTTATGGCAAATTGGTATTCGACCTTTTAGCGAAAAAGCAGAGATTGCGTGTACTGGAAGATGGAAAGCAGCAAGTGCAAGTTGTCGGTTTGACTGAAAAAATCGTGACAAAAGTGGAAGATGTCCTCGAATTAATACAAAAAGGCAGTCTGGAAAGGACTTCAGGACAGACATCGGCGAATTCAAATTCCTCAAGATCTCACGCGGTTTTTCAAATAATTTTGAGAAAGGCCGGATCTAGAAATGTGGAGGGCAAGTTTTCTTTAATAGATTTAGCCGGAAACGAAAGGGGCGCAGACAATAACAAGTCTAATAGACAAACTAGAATAGAAGGAGCTGATATTAACAAAAGTTTGTTAGCATTAAAGGAATGCATCAGGGCTCTTGGCAGAAGAGGCGCTCACTTGCCTTTTAGGGGAAGTAAACTGACTCAAGTCTTGCGAGATTCCTTTATAGGTGAGAAATCTAGAACGTGCATGATAGCGCTCATTAGTCCTGGAAATTATTCTGTTGATCATTCATTAAACACGCTGAGATATGCGGATAGAGTAAAGGAGTTGATAGCAACTGATTTGCCTGCAGACGATATTGTCGACGAAGTCATGATAAACGAAGAAGATTCAATGGAAGATGTTATAGATGAAGAAATGCTTAAAGATGAAGAACGGATGCTTAACATTTCGTCAATGGAATGGGAAGTGTTAGAAAGTAACAGGCATGTTATCGAGAGCTGCGTATATTTTCATAGAGTGGCATGTGATCTTTACAAAGCTAGTCAAAAAAATGGTTTCGATAAGAATAGTTACGCCACCAACTGGAAAAACTTACTTGGTGAAATGATTGATATACAGAAAGAGGCTTTGCTTAAAGCTAACGAATTTTGCAATATATTAGATGGACGAACTTAAAACATTATCAATGCTCTTTTTACTTATTGCATTTTCACGATAAAAATTATTATTAATAAAATGAGTTAAAATGAGTGTATATACTTATATATTTTTATTTATATTTCAAAGTTTTAATTTATAAATGTACAGAAATTATTTTTTTGTTATATAAAAAGCTACGGTCCATATATCCAGTAGATATATGTATTTTTACGTTATTAAAAAAATATAAATACTTTTTAAATCAAGTCAAGTGTTTTGTTAAAAGTAAGATGTCATACCGGCAATGTGCATTTGCACTTTATTCTTGACACGTCAATTCTGAATGTTTCTAGATTGTGGGGTAAGTACCACAAGAAGGATTTGATTAAGTAATTAAAATATAAAGATAAAAAATCATGTGTTTAATTAGGTGATAGAGGATATATGGCAGTGATATTCGTGTCTGTCATTTTAATATACACGTCAATTGAACTGTCTGTCACCTTCCCTGATTTGTTGGACATATTTTATATCTAATTTATTTTAAAATTAATAAATAAAATTAGGCTTCTAAAGATAGCAGAATATATTTATATATAGCACTAAGTATCACGAAAATTGGTAGTGGCTGCAGAGCCAGCGAGTGTGTCCCAGGTTGCTGACCCAACAGTACCTGGTTAATTCCCTTGATATGGTTGCTTTATTTCTTTAAATAAAAATATTTAAGATCTATATAGAGTGGTCATCCAGGTCAAGGAAGGCAATGATAATCCATCTTGAGTACACTCAAATTAATAATGCCGTTAAGATTCGGCGATAAACTGAAGGTCTGGCGTATTTACTACTTGTAGAAAAATAAAACTGATGGTTTTTTGTTTTGCGAAAAAACTTTTGTGAGGAAAGTGATACTGCGGAATAAGCATAGTAGATAGCATGTCCAACGAAGAAGATATTTGATAGGAACAGTTATTGTCTGTTATTTACAGTATGTCCCCGAATTGTATTTACAAGAGGAAAAACTTTTTTAATAAAAAAGTTTTTAATAATATTAACATTATGACAAAAATGCATTCTTAATAAAAATATTTGCTTGTTCTAAAGTGGTTAACCCCGTTTATTCTCTTTCAAATTCCAATACCCTTTTAAAGAAAATTTAAAAAAAATATGAAAAGATAAGTAGGTAGTTAAATTTTTTCTGTCTTAAAAATCAAATTGCGTTTCTATGGTAATATAATTTTGTTTTCATTCTTTGACAGATTGTTATTGATAGAATTTTAATTAACATCATATTTTTTGCTGTTTTAAAATGTTAAAGAAGCACAAAATTTATTTAGTTCAATGCTACGGAAAGGGTGATAATAGTTATAAGAAAATGTGATACTTTACTAGCAGCAAAAATATGACGTTAATCAAAAGTAACGATAACAATCTATTCAAGAATGAAATCGAAATAATATTACCACAGATATTAACATAGAAAATAGAAACGCCTTCTGATTTTTTGGACTTCAACCATATTTTCATGTTTTTTATTTAATTTTATTTAAAACGGTATGGAAATTTGTTAAAGTATATAAACGGGATTAAACCATTTTAGAACAAGCAAAGATTTTTAGAAAAAGGTATTTTTGTCATAATGTTAATGATAAAAATGTTTTTCCTCTTGTAAAGACAATCCAAGGATATATTGTATATACATGTATGTATATAAAATTCAAGGAACTCTTTACTTACAGCGCTCTCAGATGGAGCCGACCGTCTGCGACGGATCGTCCGCGACTTCGAGTAAGTACCGTTAGTTTATATGAACAATTTCACATGGGTCACCTATGCTCCGTCCGGATGATGTCTTCCGACGGCTATCTTGAAAAAACACGAACGGACGGTCCGCGGGTACGCTCCGCTCCATCTGTAAGCACTGTTACAGCGCTTTCAGATGGAACAGACCGTCCGCGACATCGAGCAAGTACCATGAGTTTATATGAACAATCTCACATGGGTCGCGTATGCTCCGTCCGGACGATTCGTCCGACGGCTATTTTGAAAACACACGACGGACGGCCGGCTCCATCTGAAAGCGCAGGGTATCAACGCATAGCCCAAACCGCTTGGCCTAGAAGCACGAAATTTGGCACATAGGTTCCGCGAATGACAAGCAATAAGAAGCAATTTTTGAAAATTCAACCCTTAAGGGGGTGAAATTGGGGATGAAAAATTGCTTAAAATTTCTTAAAATCTGTTTTAGGACATACAATTTTGCACAGAGATTCCTTAGACGATGTAATTGAGCACTAAGGGTTGATTTTTGGAAATTCGTTTCTTAAGGATGTGAAATAAAGTGTGAATATTGTATTAAAAAATCTGTCCTAGAAGTATGAAATGTTGCAGAGAGGTCCGTTAAATGGCGTAACTGAACACCAAGAAAGGATTTTTGAAAATTCATCTTAAAAGGGGGTGGAAGTTTCTAAAATATTTTTTAAAATCAGGCCGAGGAGTATGAAATTTTGCACAAGAGTTCCTTAAAAAATGAAGAAAGTCAGTACCCAGAAGCGTTTTTTAAAATTCGTTCCCGAAGAGGGTGAAATTAGAATTATGATTAGGTTTGTTCAAAAATTTGTTGAAATCGATTCTAGAAGTGTGAATATTTTTATACTTCAAAGTCAATTGGAGTTGTATGGTACCTTCAATTGGTTTGTGCAGCTGATATTGATAATGGCACCGACAAAGGCACTGTCCAAAGCAGGAACAGAGCTAGGAGTATTTGGGCCGACAACTAAATACTTCGAACCAATGGGTACCTACCTCAGTATCCTACAGGCAGAAATCCATGCTATCGAAAGATGCGTACAACTTATAGATAAGGACTATCGGAAACAATAAGTAGCCATCTTATCCGGTAGCCAAGCAGCATTAAAAGCGAACAACTCAGCAACCATAAATTCTTTATTCAATTTTACGGCAGACCTGATAAGCAAGGACAGAAAGACAGTCAATACTGTAGTACGTATACAGCTTTGATTACAGGTTATTGTAAGCTGAATATATATCTGAAGCTAATGGGATTGACGGACGAACTCATGTGTAGGTTCTGCCAATCTGGAGAAAAAACGACAGAACACATTTTATGTCGGTGCGACAGTCTGGTAAATGTGCGATTCTCGGAATAGTCTTTTTTTTGCTAGACTTTGTCTTTACAATTAGACAAAGAAAATAAGGTCCTCTTAGTCTGGATGCCAGCCCACCAAGGGATAGAACACAATGAAAAAGCAAATGATCTAGCTACACTCACTGGAATAATTGCTGGGCTGGCACCCATCCCAGTTAGTGAACCAGAACTCTTCTGCTTCCCAAGTGGAAGCCAACTTAAGGCGGAACTCAAAAACCTGGAAGGATCCATCCGTAACCTGGAATCGGAATCCTCCAACGGTCTAAGACACTCAAAGAAATTTCTCAGAACTTACGACCGAGAAAAATCCTTTTACTTAAAGGAAAAAAAATCCTCCATTTAAGTAAAACTAATCTTCGGATAGTCACGGGTTTTAACAGGACATTGTCTCCTCAATGAACACCTCAGTAGATTTAAGCTAAGAAACAACGGCGAATGCAGATTCTATGGGAAAATGGGAAAACACCATAACACCTAATCACTAAGTGCGCCAAGACGACAACCATTCGTGTCATAAACTTTGGTATGACTGATATCGGAGATGAAGAACTGTAAAACCGTTTGATATACTGGCTTTTTTCAAAGCCCTGAGACTGTATGACGAGTTATAACTGAAGAATGGGAGACACAATAGATCTGTAAGGTGATTAACCCCCAGACATTCTGCATTCTACAAGGCAGTGCTGAAATTAAAATAAAACCATTTTTTCTGACTTACCACAATACATAGAACAACTATATCATACTCGAGTGAACGATCCATATAGGGAAGGCAGGTGGGAACATATTGATTAGGTTACGATTTTCCAGATTAGAAACTCTTTGTTCATAGTAAGATGACATGAAATCCAAAATTATTCTTTTTTTTGTTCCACCCATAAAATATAAAGTTTTAAAAAGATACAGTTCTAAATATAAAGTGGATTTTATTTTGTAGTTATTTTTAAATGATCAGTCGTTAAAAAAAGTTGCAAATTGAAAATATAAATTCTCTTAATGAACAAACTATTTTCATTATTATTGAATATATTTAATTTTATCGACAAGACAAAGTGATTTAAGTAATAGATTAATATCAGGATTTCTATTATATCCGACCATATGCCGTATACGATTTTTGAAAATTCAACCCCTAAGGGGGTGAAATTGAAAATGAAAAATTGCATAAAATTTCTTAAAATCTGTTTTAGGAGTATAAAATTTTACAGAAATTTCTTAGGTGATGCAATTGAGCCCTAAGGAGTGATTTTTGGAAACTAGATTCTTAAGGATCTGAAATGAAGTGTGAATATTGTATAAAAAATCTGTCCTAGAAGTACATGGATTAGTACCTAGAGTAAAAAAATATTAAAATACTTGCTATTTTGTAGCTTCACACTAATAAGCACATTTACATTTGAAACACTACCTATGTTGTTCTGTTGCGCGTCCAAGAACTGTGGCTTTTTCGCACGCTTATTAGTTGCAGCTCCATCTTAACCCCTACTACTTTCGATAGATAAATGATACATGAATCTATTTTACCATTTGGACTGGATAAACGACGATTAAATTAACTAATATTTAGCTTTAAATCCTAAAAAGGCCGAGGACCAGTGCTGGCCGGATAACCAGTGCACTGACCCTACTATATAATATATAGTACTGAATCAAAAAATGTGGTTTTCTCAGCTTGTCCGTGTATATCAATTACATTGACTAATTCATTTCAAGAAAATCTGTAACTATTATCTCTACCATTTATACTTATTACAACAAATTAAACTAAAATTCAGATTTTGTTCTTAACTTACTTAACAGACATGAAAATGTGATAATTATTACTTTTTTTCATGGTAACTATGATGTTATAGCGCAATTGTATTAAAAATATGGGTAAAAATAGAAATAATTGGAATAAATCGCAAACTAATAAAAATAGGTATATGACATTCTTAATAAAAGTT